AAAAAATCAGGAAAATCAACTTTTTTTTAAATATTTTTTACTGATTAAAATTGTGGGTGAATAAATGACAATGATAGAAAATGTATATTTTTATTCATTTAAATATCAAAGATTTTTTTAGAGAGATTTATGATACATTTTTAATCTATTTTTTTAATAAATGACAGATTATAAAGGTTATCCTCACAGAAATTATAGACAATTCTCATTTCAAAGATCAGCGTGTAGCGTTTTTTTTTTCGAACCTATGAATTTTCAACAATAGTCGAATTAAAATGATAAAAACTTACAAAAAACGTTCACGTTTATGTAAATAAAACCTTTAGCACATACCGAAATGAATATTTCATTAACAAAAATAAAGAAAAACCTTTATATTTCATTTAAGGTATATTTCTTATCGGAGCATGTGCACATTTACAGGGTGTTTTAATAAAAACCGTAGAGAAGAAGAGTTATGTGGTTCTAAAGCTTCTATTAAGATATCCAATAACAGCTATTAAGCTATTAAGATATCAATAACAGCTATTAAGCTGTTATTGATTTTTATATTTAAATCTTTCTAATTTTTTATTCTGTCTTGAAAAATAAAAAGTAAGTAAGGATAAAAGTTTTTAGTGGCACAATAAAGTCATAATTTCTTAGGGTAACCGCCCGGACCAAGAAGAGACAACCTCACCAAAAACCTAAATCCTAGGATGACGGTACAGCTCAAAGGGATGTTAGAAGACTAGCCTTTTCTGGTCTCAACCTTGGGACACCAAGGGACACCTCATTGTATTTACCCCTTACTTCTACATGCGGGGGATTCTGTAGAAATGGACCGACTAACCTTTGCAGTGAAGCTGGAGAGAACCCTCTTAGCAACAATGGAAACTTTAACGGGGTGCAAGTTACAAGAGACCAATCCCAAAGGAAACTACAGGAGAGGCAGCTGACACTTGCGCGAGGCCAGCCTTCACAAGCTGCACACAAGCTACCATCTCCTCTAGTACGGGCCAGATGAAAGAAAGCGAAAACACTCCTCAAAATAGGGGAGTCTAAAGGAACCAAGAAACAGACTGGTGCGTCTCCGCTAAAAGGCAAGAGAGGAAACGAGAACCCCACCTCTGCTCTGACAAGGAGAAAAAAATGCCAGGATGGAAAGCCATCCCACGCCGAGAGGCCAGCAGGAACGTATCACCAGCTTTACCAGAACTCCAATGTAAGGACATCGAGTTGACAAGGATTGGTCATCAACACAATAGAAATTGATCTCAAATCCAAGGAGGCAATAGAGAAAGATATCTGGATAAATTCTGGACAACATCAGTATCAGATCTAAGGAGAGCCCAAGTTAGAGAGATGGAGAAAATGAGGATAGATCCTCCAGTCAACACCTCACAGATACCTCAACCGGAGACAAATTCCTCGACTGTGAAAGACATGGAAGGCCAAACCCCAACCGTGTTTATACCCTCGGAGAAGATAGATGTCCACTTCTTGGAGAAAGAACATCTGTTGTCAAAGGAGGATGATAAATACCCTGTCCTCCCTACAATAGGAAAATCACTATGTATGATGAGCTATTGACTGTACGATGAGTTATAACTCAAGAAAGGTGGACACAATAAATCTTTAAAGTCACGGTGATGAGGGCCAGCGGAAGGGCCGGGCGACCCGGGCGGCTACCCGGGGCGCCGTATCATGGGGCGCCACGACAGCATCTAAAATATTTAAAAAAATATTTGTTCGTGGTGTTTTACTTATAACTCAAAAGATATCAACTTTTTGTAAACAACCCTTCTTTCTATAATTCTTGTTTTTACAAATTTTCTCTAAACAAACTGTTTTGAGTTGGCAGTTTTAGACTGACCGTTCAAAATCGCACTTTGTCTACTATTCACACCCTTTATTTGTTATTAATGGCTGATATACCCTCAAAATTATATGAGGCAAATATACATTCGCAAGAAGCTGAAGAGGATCCCGATATTCTTATCATCAAAGAAAAGCTTATGGACTATTCATTTCATTCATTTAATTAATTTATTAACAGGAGTGGGAAAATATATCAATCTTTTGGTGATTTTGATTATTCCAGATTAAATATGTAGTAATACATGAAAAATGGTAGCAGAATCGTAGAATTTTCTCATTAGAACAAGACAAAGGGATATACATCTCAAATATTGGCTGATCCTCATTTTGAAGCCGACAAAACTGTATCTGATCATATATAGTCTGTCCAACGAGAAGATCCTTGACAGTGATAGATGTGTCTGTCATTTTAATTTCAAAGTAGTTTATTTTATTTTACAAAGAAATAAGTTGGTATAACTGGAACGCATAGCAGGATATATTTAAAATTTGATTGACAAGATGACAAGTGATTACTTCAAAATATTGTGAAAAAAACTGTAAAAACTGAAAAAATGTAATCGAGTTATTTTATTTAATAAAAACGGTATATGTTAATACAAAACAAACAAGAACAAGACACTACATACCAAAAAAATATAAAAAAGAACTATTATTTACTTTCAAGCTTTATGAAACTACCCGCATTTATGATTATATTTATCAATATAACTTATGTACAAATACAAATTTGTAATATTTCACAGGAATAAATAAAACAACATAGGTAAATAAAACAAACTATTTTATTAATAATAACACCTACCAAATTTTATACCTTAAAGGTTGATTAATTAACTTTAATCATAATTTTTTTAAACCAGTACCTTTTGACATTATTTTTCTGCAGTACTAAAATCCATTATTTACCTATCGTGTGATGTCGATATTTTACAGCTACTCCAGTTTTTAGTATGTGTTTAGTTTGATCCTTCTACCATATACGAGATGCACTTATCTACGACGAAATGGTGTACAAACTTTATCGATGGCAACTTCATTGGTGTATAAGACTTTCTGCCTGGGCAGCGAGTATTAACCATAAACTGTGCTCTGGGTCTACAGTTAATTTTCACTCGATTTTTCCTCCAATTGACTTCAAAAGACACAAAACACACGTAATAATACGAATCAAAATGCATCATCTTCCAAAACGCAGGGTATTTAACAAAAGTTGACACAAAATTATAACCTATAATTTGGCAAGACTTTGACAAGCATCAAAAATGACAAAAATCTAAAGGCGAGTTCATACGCATCGGCGTCCGTTTGTGGTTCATCGTTCCGTCGAACCAATAAAATTGAAATACGATCTGTTATTTCTTAAATAAACCAATAAAACTGGTTAAAAACAACAAGACACGACGCATGACGGATTTATATTTAAACCCATCCATAGATAACTTAAAAATTATTAGAAACTTTTTTTAGTAAAATAAATAGATTGGTATGGGACGTCATCTGCTTTTCTTCTGTCATCGTCTGTCGAAATCTTACCTGAGAAAAAAAACAGAGTATACTGATTCTGCAAGAAATAATTGATCAAAAGTAGCTCACCCCTGTAACTTGGTTATTTTTTCATATGAAAAAACGATATTTGGTATGTTAGTATACGATATAAATTAGGATTAATTGACGTATTCAATTGTTTTTGGTCACTTCCTGTTTTATCAGAATTTTACTACAACTTTTGATTTTTTAATGGCATCCTCGGTATATTTCTACTACGACAGAAAATAACACTCTGAATAGAATGACATATATGTCAACTTTTGACATTTTCGCATATGGTTTATTAAGGGTTTATATTGGATATTATAACAACAATTTGTCTCGAAATACCAAGTGTGTGGTACAGAATTATTCGTAAAAAATGTTTTTTTTCCAAATATGCTACTGAGCCACCCTTCTTCCATTTGAAAAAATTGACATTTGATTAAAAATACGATTTGGACATCTATTAACCGGTCAGGACAAGACACGAAAAACATTAGACGATCAAATCTATTTTTCCAAGGCTCCTTGTTTAAAAATTAGTGGTTTTAACACAGCCATGGCACTCGAGATTGAAATTTAAAATACGATTTGACCTATGATATGTCATTCTACTCAGAGTGTCATTTTCTATCGTAGTAGAAATATATCGAGGAAGCCATTTAAAAATCAAAAGTTGTAGTAATTTCCGGTAAAACAGGAAGTGACCAAAAACAATTGAATACGTCAATCAATCCTAATTTGTGTCATATACTAACATACCAAATATTACGTTTATTATTACGTTTATACCAAATTTCGTTTTTTATTTAAAAAAAAATAAAAAAACTTATAGGGGTGAGTGTCGCTTTCGAGACATACCCGGTATAGAAAAAAACAAAAAACAACAACCTTAGACTAAGATTGAACGAAGAGAAGAATTTTGAAAGATCTTTAAGTGAAACTTTATTGTTAAAATAGCATAAATATGCTTAGGTGTAGCTAAAGTATAGTATTGAAGGAAAGAGAGAATTATAATAACTATTAGGGATGGGGGGGCGCCAGATAGTGTAGTGGCCCCGTCTCAATATTTCCCTTCCGCCGGCCCCGACGGTGATTAACCCCCCTGCTCCCGCTCGTTCTGCATTCTTCTACAAAAATCTCCTTTTATACCTGTACACTGCATACCAAAATTGAAGAAAATATCTAATGTACTTTCCGACATATTGCAAGAAATTTGATTTTTATTTAATTTAAAACATACGAGGAATAATGCCCTAAATTTTTTTAGTTTACTTAAAAACACCCGGTAAATCAAATGTTTTAGAAATCCTCTTAGATTTATGTACTTCTTTTCTAATATTAATAGTATAGGTACAACACAAGTTTAATTTTACTAACCCGATATTTGTTTTCTCTCACATTTGACCATCTCAAGTCAAGGCAAACCTATCTGAAACACTCTGTATGTTCCAAATTTATTGACCATCAACATTCAAGATCAACCAGTTGAATATATTATGCATATGGTTTTATTCTCTTTTTAGATGTATTTATCGAACAAAAAAAAATCAACAGTACTTCTCCAAAGATCGTACACATATAAATATTGAAGAGGGGAAGAAACTACCGACAAACAGTGCAAAATTGTTTACCTCAGAACCATTCTGTTGCATTTTGCGTTGTGGTGCGGTCGTGGACAACCTTGAGTTACTACTACAAGAGAAAAAAAAATCGAATTAATAGTCGGTAGCATCTCTGAAAATTCGCAAAACAAGGAATCACAAAATTTAAAATGAGCGATTTCTAAAAAAATTCTGCGTATTTTTTTTAGTTTATAGTGTCGCAAAACCGAGTGATGGATATTATTTTTGTTTTGATTGCTTTTTGTGTTTTTAAAAATGCCGGTAAGATTTTTCATTAATTTTATACACTCTCTTCGATAATTTCTAATCACATAAGAAAAAAATTAGACTTCTTGTGTAAAAGAAAGTTAACTAGTTTGGGGGAATCATCATCTCTCTGTCCTCCTGGAAAAGCCTCCTATACAGTATGTCCCCGGATTGTCTTTACAAGAGGAAAAACTTTTAATATTAATGTAATATAAAAAACATCTTGAGAAAATGCCTTCTTTATAATTTTTTTTGCTTGTTTAAAATGGTTAATCCCGTTTATAATTTTCCAAATTTCTATGGCGTTTGAGAGAAAATTAAAAAATAAACATGAAAATATGATTGAATTTTTTTGAAATCCTAAAAATCAGAAAACGTTTCTATGGTAATATAATTTCATTTTCATCCTTGGTATAGTCTTTGATTTCATCCTTTGATAGATGGTTATTATTAATTTTGACTAAAGTCAAATTTTTTGCTGTTTTTAAAGTATCATATGTTCTGATAACTATTATCACCTTTTCCATATTATTGAACTAAATAAAATTTGTGCTTCTATAATCTTTGAATAAGAAGACTAAGGAAGGAGCATAATGCTATCCATGTATTCATGCATGGTGGGCGGAAAAAGCTCTCTAGGGTGGGTATCCTTGACAGTTCTGTTTGACGATTCATTTGACACATTTGAATTTGATTTGAAATTTTGTGGATTTGTCAGTCTTTACGGAGATTATTTTATGTTATTTATTATTTATTCTACTACTGATAGTTGTATAAAGGTAGTAAATCTAGATGGAAATTGTGGCAGCACTTAAATTAACAGTGACACTATCGCGATTTATCGAAAAAGACTCTAAAATAGTTGGTTGTGGAGCGTGCGGTAGATCTCGGCAAAAATTGAGTGAAATAATGGAACAAGTTTTCGCTAGTAAGTGACTATATAATATACATACGTGTAGTAAACCGATCATTTATGAAATTCACTTAAATTAACTAAATCATATATTTTTCTTGCATTTTAGTTTTTATTTATTACTTGTCAAAGATGAGATGTCAAAGAATTTAGATACGTTAATTTGACTTACCTGCTTCAGTAGCGTATCGGATGTTTGTGTTAATAAATACTTATTATAACTTATCTATTTTTATTAGAATTATATATTTTTATAACAATTTTAATAACTACCAACATTTATTCACAACGTAAAATAAAACAACAAATTATTGAGTCTACCCCGCGTCTACCCTACATCATAGTTTTACATTTTTTAAATAAAATTAGAACGACACTGATAGACCGGAATTTAAGTCAGCCATATTTGAGGCCCATCGCGGTGTACCTAAGATTTTTGATATGCTCCTTCCTTAGTCTTCTTATTCAAAGTCTATAATCAAACGAGATTATGTTACCATAGAAACGCCTTTTGATTTATAGGACTTCATAAAATTCAATTATATTTTCATGTTTTCTATAATTTTCCCGAAAATGGTATGAATAATTAGAAAAGTTTAAACGTTATTAACCATTTTAAAACAAGCAGATTTTATTATGAAGAATGCATTTTTCTCAAAATGTCATTAATATAAAAAACCTCGTGTAAAGACAACCTGGGACATATTATAGAATATAAAATAATCTCTTGATTTAATTAAGGCTTTAAGATCGTCCTAAAAGAGAATGCTGCAGTTAGTTGTTATTGTCACACTATTTTACTAATGAAGCCTCTGAAACATTACTAATAACTATAAACTTGTTGGTATTTTTAAAGTCCTTATACCGTATGATTATATATATGTAAAATGATTTTATATGTAAAATTATATGGGAAATGTCATCGATCCTCATTTCATAGCCATTGCTGACGCCGTTTTTATTCGATCATACGATATTTGAACCATGTGATGTATTTTATTACATTTGTTGTCTATTAACACTATCTTTTACAAAAATTCTACAAAATGTCACCGGATTGTCTTTACAAGAAGAAAAACTTTTTTATTATTTTAACATTTTGAGAAGAATGCATCCTTTATAAAAATATTTGCTTTTCTATAATTTATCCCGTTTATTATTTTCCAAATTTTACACCGTTTTAGAGAAAAATAAAAAAATATACCTAGTATTAACTCCCATAGATCGAAACGCGTTTCTACAGTAGATAACATCATTTTAATAATCATTCATTTCTTTGGTAAATGGTCATTATTAATTTTAGTTAATGTCATATTTTTTGCTCTTTTAATATATCTTAAAGAAGCACAAAATTTATTTAGTTCAATTCGACGAAAAAGGTAATTATTAAAGCAGAATGTATGTCTGTATGACGTTAATCAAAATTAATAATAAACATCTATTATTGAAAAATAATAATTAAGTCATAATATATTATATTACGACTTTCTGGAGCACTAAAAACTTTCATCCCTTTAAAGCTGAAATTGAGTATAAAATTTATTATTAGTGAAAATTTGTTACGTCGCAAGTAAAGTTTACAGGACCTATCTGAGCCCGCATCATCTGTCCAAGAGGAAATAGGTATAGTGCATTATTTTAAAAAACAAATCTTGTTCTACAGGGTCCGGCAATAGTACATCGGGCATCTGTAGCTCCTAGATTAAAAAACTTGAGAATTTTATTTAAGTGCAAATCTAAAGTATGTACCAGGATTTATTTCAGGAAAATATTTTAACTTCTATAGGGTGGCTCAAAAAAGTGTGAGTGGACCTGGATTATATTTTTAAATGGAACACTCTGTATATTATTGCATTTTTGGTTTCCTTTCAGATCACTTTACATAACCCTAAGATATGAATAAATATACTTCGATAGTTTCAGAGATACTAAAAAATAAATCAAAAATATATATTTTTCAGTCCTATTTAAAAAAAAATTAAAAATACAAGAACTGTTCTGAAATCAAAACTATATTAGGTATTTACTTTAGATGGCCTGTACTTACTTTGCTATAATTATGAAAATCGTAAATCATACAGGATGTTCAAAATTCTACGCCAAAGTTTCTAAAATATAAAATAATTTTTCTTCGTTTTTTTAAATGGAACACCCTGTATATTATTTTTTCAATAGACCGAGAATTAAAAAATGAACATTTTTTGTATTTAGAGTATTTCAAAATTTGTAACGGTTTCGCAGATATTTGCGGTTTTATATTTCATATGGCATTTTCCACAGTAAATTTTTATCAAAGATACCCAATGATTTTTCTCTAGAATTTTACCACTGAAAGCGCCATATGAAATAATACTGCGTGTATCTGCGAAACCGTAAAAAATTTTGAAATACTCTAAATACAAAAAATGTTCATTTTTTAACCCTCCATCTAATGAAAAAATAATATACAGGGTGTTCCATTTAAAAAAACAAAGAAAAATATTTTATATTTTAGAAAGTTTGGCGTAGAATATTGAACATCCTGTATGATTTACGATTACCAAATTTATAGTAAAGTAAGGACGGACCATCTAAAGTAAATACCTAACATAGTTTTGATTTCAGAACAGTTCTTGTATTTTTAATAATTTTTTTAAAAAGGGCTAAAAAATATATATTATTGATTTATTTTTTAATTATCTCTGAAACTATCGAAATATATTTATTCATATCTTAGGGTTATGTAAAGTGATCTGAAAGGAAGCCAAAAATGCAATAATATACAGGGTGTTCCATTTAAAAAAATCATCCAGGTCCACTCACACTTTTTTGAGCCACCCTATAGAAGTTAAAATATTTTCCTGAAATACATCCTGGTACATACTTTAGGTCTGCACTTAAACAAAATTCTGAAGTTTTATATTTTAGGAGCTACAGATGCCCGACGCACTATTGCCGGACCCTGTAGAATGGTTAATTTTGTTTACACTTTACCAAATTTACATACATACTCTTTTAGAAAAAGATAAAAAAATGAAAATATTATGTTTCATTAGAAGTCCTAAAAATCAAAACGTATTTTTATGGTAATATCATTTCGTTTTCATTTTTTGATAGTTGGTTATTATTAATTTTAATTAACGTCATATTTTTGCTGTTGTTAACATCACCCCTTCCGATAACTAGTATCACCCTATCCGTAACATTGAACTAGATAAAATGTGGGCCTCTTTAATTTTGTTACAACCAATTCTATTTTTATTTTTTCTAAAACAGTATGGAAGTTTGTACGTACGTATGTACTTTGAAGTTTGAAAAATTATTAATGGCATTAACCATTTCATAACAAGCAAAGTTTTTTTTTTTATAAATAATGCATTTTTCTCAAAATGTTAATAATAAAAAAGTGTTTCTTCTTGTAATGACGAGCCGGGGCCATACTGCATAATAAAGGACATAATTAAGATAGGTACCTATTAATTAATCTCAGTTTTAATTTATTTATTTTAGTAAATTCAACAAAGAATTAAAAAAAGGAACCGTAGATTTTTTTGTATTTTAGAGACACTCATCACTACTAAACATTTTTTTTTCAAATAATACTTTGCAAATATCCATAATTTATTTATTTTTACGATTATTAGCGACAACAAACCTGTCTTTAGTAATTGATGGTATAAAGTTCGTTATAAAACAACTCAAGGATGACATCAACGTTGGTCAAATTTCCGAAACACACACTTATTATGTATGTACTTTGAAATTTGCATATTTGCGTGTCATAAACACAGCAATTGCAATAAAAAAAGACTTTTCGTGTTATTTTTTTTTCTTATTACATTTAACACCTTGGAAGTGTAATTTTATTTAGTTATTTAATCCTACAATTTGTATAAAAAGAAACAATTAACTATGATCGTATCTTAATTTTACATTTTCGTGAACCTTCTCTACAATAATTTATTTATTAAATCATACAAGAAGCAAGTAGGCAAAATGCATTCACCTTAAATTAGTGGATTTCGTAATGCTGTTTATTTTAAACATAGCATAGAAATGTCGATATTGCAAAAGTTGAATTCTTGTTTAATTTACTTATATACTTACCTATACATACTATTTAAATCAAATAAGAGCTATTTACATTTGAACACATGACAAAAATTCAAAGATATTTAAACTCAAATTTAAATATCTTTGCAAAAATGATGTGCTATTATTGACTTGCTATTATAGATGTCTCTAAACTCTATGGTTTATTCCCATAAATCTCCAGACTGGGTGACTTTTTTGAAAATTTACTATACATTATTGTTTTATATATAGGGTCTTCTTCAAAAGCTACTCATCCCACCCCTATAACTTTATCATTTTTTCAGATAACAATACGTGATTTTGTATGTTTTTTTAATAAGGGGCCGTCCTATGCCGGAAACACTGTGACCTGTGAAGCCTTTCCCTAGTTTCCCTTTCTATGTGTCTATACCTATTCTCCTATCCCTGTATTGTGCACCAATTTGTGTAGGTCTTTGATAGGATGGGAGCATAGTTCCTCCGGTTCTAGCCTTTGCTTCCCAAATAAAAAGTGTAGTTTGCGATCCAGAGCCTCGCAGTGGCATACGAGTATTATGTGCTCTGCTGTTTCAGGATCTTTATTCCAGTCTGCAGCAAAAACTTGCTTGATACGGGTTGAGCTTGTTCAGGTAACCCTTGAAAGCCATTTGTCCTGTTAAGAAACCTGTTGTAATCCGCACTTTATTCCTGCTAAGCATTAGCAGTTCCTTTGTGGTTTTAGAATTAGGTTCTCGGATAAAGGCCTATGGTACCGCTGTCTGTTTCTCCAGTCTTGTATGTATTTGATATAAATCAGAGCTGAATAACGTATTCAACTAGTTTCGATCACTTCCTGTTTCACCGGAAATTACTACAACTTTTGACATTCTGAATAAATTTACATCTCATATGTCAACTTTTGACAATTGCGCTTGAAAATAGTGTCATGTGTATGTACTATTAATTTTTAATCAAGGAGGCATAGAAAAATAGACTTGACTGTCTAGTGTTTTTCGTTATTTTTTCTGATAGCCGGTTAAAAGCTACCTAAATCGCATTTTTAATCATAACCCAATTTTTTCAAATGAAGTGAATGGTCACTCATTAACATACTTGGAAAAAGCTTTTTTTTTACGAATAATTTGGTACCATATACTTGCTATTTGCAGTCAAATTTTCGTTATGAGCGCAAGAACATTGAAATTTAAGTTGTTCAGAATACCATTTTCTATCGAATATAGTAAAAAATATCGAGGATGAGGATACAATTTTAAAATCAAAATTTGTAGTAATTTCCGGTGAAGCAGGAAGTGAATAATTGAAGAGGTGGCTGCAATAGCCAGGTAGCTTCATTTTGCCCTTTAAAAAATAGTCCGATCGTTGCCTTCAACAATCACATATCTGCATTTAACAGTACATAAATGGCAACGTTAGTTGAAGCTGCCTTGCTTTCGGTTGTAGCAAGAACCGTGCAGCTTGAAGCTGCCTACTTTGGCTAGCAAAATTTCTGCCTTCTGGTTATTGCAGCCATTCCTTCAATTGAATACGTGAATCAGACCTAATTTTTGATATGATTTTTTTTGAAAGAATTAAATAGTTATGGATATTTACTTTTGAAAAACACCTGGTATACATTTCAAAGGCTATCATTCTATTGTTTTCAGAACAAGCTCCTTTGCAAGAAACACCTCCCTTTGAATTCGATGATGGTTGGAACTATAAATTACCACCACATACATCGCCTTTACTGAAGGGGTCTGAAAAACATTTTTTGAAACCCCATTATACGTATGGAAAGGTAAGAGGCCCTTATATTAACATTGATACAACTCACAAACTAAAAGAAAAAATACTAATTGACATATTATACTGCCCCGTTAATGAAAAATCCTTATCTGATGCTATGAACGTTAAAGTAATGTTTGATGGAAGTTGTCTTGATAAGTTAAAAAAAAAATGTTAATATTTAAAGTTGTCGATGAAGTTAAAAAAAATAAAAATAAGTTAAAAAAAATTGTTAATATTTATACAGGGTAAGTCTTAAACAAAACATTTTAATACTCGTTTTAATATTTAGCGAATATGTTTATTTCAACCCCAGGAACACACACAGGAACAGGAATTCTTCCCAAAAAAGATGTTGAAAATCGTGCATTTTCTTTTAAATATTTATCTACATTTAGAAAACTTTTTAGAACTGTCTGGTTTACCGCAAATTTTCCCACCGTATAATTTCTTAACCTCTGATAATAGTGATAATATTACAATCCGAAAGAATCCGGTAGCTCTCATTTTTTTTTTAAATTAATATTTTTTTTTTAATTTTCAGACTTAAATAACTGGGTTATTTCGGACTTATTTGAAAAACGGTAGAGAGAAAATATGTTTCTTTTATCGAGATCTACAAGCCCTGAAAATTACTGCACTTAAGACTCACCCTGTATATAGGGAATTTTGAACTTTATTTAAGAATCAGATTTACACTTGAGAGCTATCTATTGTCTATCATTATAAAACAAATAAAGCAAGATAAGCTGTGTTTTACCGTGTTTTTGGTTCGCCTTTAGTTGAAAAATAGATATTTTATTTTTTTTAAGAACAAGGCAGTATACTAAGGGTCGGCTTTTCTGGTCTTGGGTTCTGGTTTCCACTTGGTTTCCATGTGTACGAAGAGTACGGTCAATACGCTTAGTAAAATAAGATGTACTGAATAAAGACAGAAGGCGAGTATTTTCCCAAGCGCATGGAATCTAGCGTCAGATTAAGTAGTTATGTAATAAATACTTCATATTTTTGCTCACTCCGACTTACTAGATTGCCATAACGACTCACTTCTATACATGTAAACGCCGACCTAAAGGTTAGCTTGCCAGCGGGGTAGGGGTCAGTCCTACAGAAATTATCATCCATTGTTATTTCAAAGACTACTCTGACTATGACTTTTTTTAAATCATACGACGGATTTTGTGACTCTTTTATCCTCATATCTTTTACTACATAGTATCTAGATGCCACGCCGTAAGTACCTGTCCAATATTTTATGGCTTTTTTAATTTATAAATTTAATGTCTTTTTGCATTTTATTACAGTCAAGCTATCTAAAAGATTTTGTTGGCATTTAAAGCAATTCAAATCTGAGCGAGAATGTGATAATTATCAAAAATTGTGCAACAATCGTTATGCACTATGCAAAACAACAAATAAATGTTTGTTTAAAATATTAACAATTTTATTGTAATAATAACAACCTTATCAACGTATTTTAAATTACCTTAAATTTAAAAGAAATATACACGGTGTCCCAATATTCCGTGAACATAAAATTACTACGTATTTATGGAATCAAAATATATTTATTGGACACAATTTACTTCTATACAAAAGTGCTTCGTTTGTCCGCTAGAGGGCATCAAACATTAAAAAAATAAACAGATTTTTTCAGATATTTTAAGAAACGTTATTCCGATTTGAATGAGATTTTGGCTGTATATATTTTGCTAAGTGTTTTTGGCTTTCACAAAAATCAAGAAAAAGTACGGGAAGGGTGAAAACTACCCCCACCCAGGGTTCGGAAGTAGTTAATTAAGACGTAATTTACCTGATCAACTACGTGTAGTTTTTCTTCAAAAACTACGTCTTTTCTCGTTCATTAACTACATGAAAACTGCGTTAATAAACTATGTATTGATATTATGAATAAATTTCCTTTGTATGAGGTGTAATAGAGATAATATGATATTTCTTCTGTTTTCTTAAATACATTATTTGTTTTTAAAGCTTCAACTTATTATAACCTCACCTCAAACCTTTGACATTTGATAGTTACATACATAGGTTACATAAACTACACCCTCTACATAAACTACATTAACTACATGTAATGTAGTTTATGTAGTTTTTAAAAGTGACATGTAGTTTTCCGAACCCTACCCCCACCCCTATATAAACTTTAGTATAAATATTTTCCAACTCAACCGACGCGACGATCGATTTTTTTTCGTAAAATGGTCCCTACCATTTACTACATTTTTTGCCTCTTGTTAAAAAAATGCCACCGCGTAAATATTGTGAGGAAAAAAGATATTTTTCCAAAGCTGACTTCCAAAAAATGTTTTTTGTCACATCAAGCTATGAAGGCGCATAAATCTATTATGCTCTAATAATCTAGTTGGCAAAAATATGGCATTTTATGTTATTATCACAAATAATATTTGACAATAAACTTCATAAAAAGCTTAAAAAATAATAATTTTTAAATGAATTAACATTCAGGTTTATTTTTGATTGATGCCCTCTAACGGACAAACGAAGCACTTTTGTTTAGTAGTAAATTATGTGGAATTAACTTATTTTGATTAAAAAAATACGTAGTTGTTCTATGTCCGCGGAATTTTGCAACTCCCTCTATATTTTGAAGGTCTGTTTTGGTAAAATAAATGCTGCAAAAAATTTTTTTCTCAAAAATTATGCGATGTGGCGTTTTTTTTACAAGAGACAAAAAATGTAGTAAATACTAGAATGACCATTTTACGAAAAGAAAAATCGGTCGTCCGTCGGTTGAGTTGGAAGATATTTATACTAAAATTTATGTAGGGGTGGGGGTAGTTTTTACCCTTCCCATACTTTTTCTTACTTCTACTTTTGTATAGAGGTGAATTGTGTCCAATGAACTTATTTTTATTCCAAAAATACGTAATAGTTCTATGTACTCGGAGTATTGGGACACACTGTATAAATAGATTAATCATTTTTAAAATTAAAACATACTTATTGTAGTCAATTGTAGTAGCTATATAAATAAAAAAGTTTTATATTTATATAGGACCTTAAGGTTGAAGGCCTCAACGACAATGATGATCGTAATTCTAAGGCTACTGAATTCAGAAAAATCATAGCATTTGGATCGGATAGTAGGGACATTATTGGCTTGAATGTCACTTGTCCTGTATGTGAAACAGGTAAGGTAGTAATTCCCATAAACTATTTTTAATTGAGATAAAGAAAAACGCAGAAGTTATTTTTTATTATGTTAACCGTTTTTTAAGAAAAACTGGGTACACAGGTTGTGTAAAAAACTGAGTTTACCTATACAAATTGTATACAGGGTGGCCCGAACTGTATTCCGGAAACTTTGGGAGCATATTCTGCAGATAAAAAGAAGTAAAAAACTTCTTATAAATGTATGTCCTAAAATGCTTAGTTTCGGAGATACAGGGTGTATAGAAGTTTCATTTTTATTTCGATTTTTTCAAAATAATTCCTGAAATAACGTCAATATTTGGATGAAAATTGGTGTCTGCTAGTTTTTTGACATGAGAAATTTGATTTTGATTATGTCATTATGACTCCTATTTGTAGAGGGCGCCACCTACATGTGTTTTAACTGTTTTGAAGAGTAATAACTTTTTGTCCGTACCTGTATAAAACTACTAAGTGAAAAAATATACATTTTCGTATTTTTTTATGTGAAAAATGTCCCTTAGTAAAAATCGTTACGAGCAACCGTTCTCGAGGTATTTAGAATGGGAATAGTCAATACATGTCATTATTGACAAAAAATAAACATGTTGAGTAGATAGTTATCTGACTAAAAAGATAAATTTGGAAAATTTTTATTTTGTTAAATTAATCATAAAATTTTCTTCGAAAAACAGATGATTGATGATGATTTGGCACAAAAACATTTCATATTTATGATTTCCGTCTATTAACTATTTAGTCAACATGTTTATAATTTATGTCAATGATGACAGGTATTGATAATTTCGATTTCAAATATCTCGAGAACTATTACTCGTAGCGATTTTTAGTAAGAGATCTTTTTACGTTAAAAACGTCGTAAATGTATATTTTTTGACTTAGTAGTTTTATACAGGTGCGGACAAAAAGTTATTACTCTTCAAACCAGTTAAAAATATGTAGGTGGCGCCCTTTATAAGTAGGGGCCATATTAACATCAAATTCGAATTTCTCATATCAAAAAACTCCCAGACACCAAATTTCATTCTAATACTGATTTTACTTCAGAAATTATTTGGAAAAATCGAAATAAAAATAAAACTTCTACACCCTGTATCTCCGAAACTAAGCATTTTAGGACATACATTTATAAGAACTTTTTTACTTGTTTTTATCTGCAGAATATGCTGCTGAAGTTTCCGGAATACAGTTCGGACCACCCTGTATATTCCAGACCAATTACTTTTAGTTACGTAATCGAGAGCGCAATTTTTAAATTCATTCTTGCCAAGCATGGACATATTCGGTGTCGGCCTGACTAACTGGAATTCAAATTACTCGCTGGGGAATTCAGGTAGTAGCTCTGCTGTAAAAAAATGTCAAGTTGCCACATTTATTTAATTTCCTGACATTGTCATTCGCGTTGACACTTTAGTTTTACTAGCAGACTTTGCAGTCGAACATTGTTCTTTCTAGAACTTCTTTTAGTGCGAAGTGGTACAAGATAGCTTAATAGCCGTAAAAAAGTCATCGCAACTTTATTAGAATATTTTAAACGAAAAAGCGGTAGTAAGGGCTCTTAAGTGCTGTTAAGAAGGTGAGTTTTGTTGATGTAAATTATAACTGTTTATATTATATTGTATTGTATTGACTAAGAGTGGGTCTCATGGGACCCTCCACTGCGGCCGCGAGGGCCTATTGTGGCTCAGTTTCTACAAGCTCTATAATTTAAAAAGAGCGTTAAAGTTCACCCTCAAGACCCAGCCTTTTAACATAGGCCGTTATGTCATTCCGTTATGTAATTCTAGTCCCGGAACGTCGCACCCCTAACCCATTCACAGAGCCTGTCTCTTGCAAGATTTTTTGGAATGCTAAGTGTTGGTTCGTGGGCCCACGAATGGCGAGCCTGCTCCAATTTTGGCGAGAGAATCAGCACGTTCATTTCCCTCTAGACCGACATGTCCCGGTATCCATATTAGCGACGCTTTGTTCCTGTCTCCTAATGTATTGAGTATTTTCTTACAATGAAGAATCGTCATAGACGTACTTTTCGTTGCCTCAAGTGCATTCAACGCAGCTTGGCTATACGAAAATATGCATATTGTTTTCCCGGTGTATTGCTGTTCTACAAGCAGTTGCGCACATGTTTCAATAGCATATAGCTCAACTTGGAAAACTGTGGTGTGTTTTCCAAGACTGTGGTAGATTTCAGTCTTTGGACTGCTGCAGTAAATTCCTGCGCCAGATCCTTTTATATAATATTAATATATAAACAGTTATAGTTACAACTCGTTATAACTCAAGAAAGGGGAACACACAATAGATCTGTAAAGTCGCATAACCCCATGATTAACCCCTAATGATTAACCCCCCTGATTAAATCTAGACATTCTACATTTAAAAAAAAAGGGGGTACTAATAAGATATACGTTATAAAAAAAGAACTCTTCTTCCAGCTGCTCAATTTTTGAAGAACCAACTGACGGCTGGCGTACCATTCGACATGATCAAGCAGTACTTTGTCTTGATTTGTGCCGGATTCACCGACATGGAGGTTTGTTCCGGGCTGTTCGACTCCTATGGACCGGAATTGTTGCCAGTACTGGCGATTATCTCAGGTATTTCATCGAATTTTCAATCATTACGAATAATTTCTCATCACGGAGTTAATTTAGTGTAACCGATTAGGTTTTCTGCTTATTTATTGTCCCATTTGATGGTTTAATGTTCGTAACAATACATAAAGTTAATACCAGGTGTCGTTCAGAAGTGGCTCACCCCTATAACTTTTTTTGGAATTTTTTGAAAAAAATTTTGGATATTTTTGAAATTTTTAGTTAAAACATAATATCTTCATAATACGGCAACATATACCGGGTGTTACATCGTTGAGCGGGACATAGGAAATCCCATGTAAATTTTAATGGGGTCAATTATATTGGCTTCCCTAATTATTTTAGAGAATAATTCTATTTAGGTTTATTGAAGAGCACTAAAACCCACATTCAAAAGAATAACTTTAGATATTTTTGATTAGCCCGTTTACGAGTTATCGCCGATTTCTTTTTAAATATTTCTCCTTTCTTATGGCCCTGTATTTACTTATGAGCACCAGTCAAGGTAAAAGATAACTGTCAAATGAAGTTGTCATTTAATAGTACCTAAATTAATAAGTTATTGAATATTGTAATAATACTATAATTAACCTTATAATTGATTACTTTATTTTACTTTAATTCATATTAATTTGTATTTATAAATACATTTTTAAGATTTCCGATGTAGTTTCCAATTCCAATGAGTTTTCAATAATAATAAAGCACTAAATAGGTAAATTTCTGAAATGACAACTTCATTTGACAGTTATCTTTTACCTTGACTGGTGCTCATAAGTAAATACAGGGCCATAATAAGATAAAATATTTAAAAAGAAATCGGCGTTAACTCGTAAACGAGCTAATCAAAAATATCTAAAGTTATTCTTTTGAATGTGGGTTTTAGTGCTCTTCAATAAACCTAAATAGAATTATTCTCTAAAATAATTAGGGAAGCCAATAATTGACCCCATTAAAATTTACATAGGATTTCCTATGTCCCGTCCGTCAATGCAACACCCGGTAGGTAATATATTAAATTTACAAGAAAGAAAACCCAGAAAAGATACAGTGGCTCTCAAAATTTAAGCGAAAAATCATCTTTTTTTAATTTTCAAAGTAAAATATCTCTCGGTTATTTTAGACTTATTTGAAAATCGGCAAAGAGAAAATATGTTTCTTTTATCGAGATCTACCAGCCCTGAAAATATTTGCACTTATTTAACGCTCATCTTATATATTCTTTCAGATGCAAGGGATGCTTGTAAGCTTTTACTAGGAGAAAGTTGTGAAAACTCTGAAACTCCCAATCACGAATGGACTGTAGAACTTCCAGATAATAAACCAGAAATCAAAGAGCCTCAATTACCAAAGGTAACCTAATAAGTACATAATATACTACAAAATAATCATTGATGTTTGTAATCAAAAACTTAACTGATAATTTTAGTCAAAAACTATACGAATTTTGCGCTTTTTTTTGAACGTAAATTTTTCTATAGTCGATGCTGAAATTCTTGAAACTACATAAGAACAGGTAAAATGTACAGGGTGGGTCAAATTCGACGCTTTTAAATATAGGACCCTTTTCTATAGAAAATAGACAAAAACTAATATCGGTGTCTGCAGCTCAATTTTTGTCAAAAACATGATGGTGAAAACCGCATATCGATATCTGTTACCGTTTCGGAGTTACGGGGTGTTTTTCAAAAATATGCATTTTTAACAAATCGCTGTAACTTTTTTGCTATGGAAAATTTTTTATTTTTATGAAAACATTTCCAAATCATCTTTTTACGTACAATTTAATGGTTTAAGTATAATTTTTTAAAAATTGATAATTTAAGAATTATCAACAGAAAATTTGATTTTTTATATGGAACACCCTGTATATTTTGAATTTATTGAAAATAATTTAAAATTACCTTTCCAAAAATATAACACACTTGATATGTTGCTCGATTCCTCTTCGAGATATGGAATATATAAAAATTCGCCCGCTTTAAATAAGTAGGCTTTGAACGGCACCGGCTGTAATGCAAAAAATTCTAGCTGTGAGCATCAATTAAAACGAAAATAATATTGGCTATGAGAGATGCAGAATTTTATAACAATTATAAACAAAATATATTTAACCAACATCAACACATTTAAACTATATCTAATAACAATAAAAATAAATAGCATACCAAGACATGAGATTTTGCTACAGGTGTTCGACATATCGACTGTCTTCTGTTATGGACAGACGGGACCGTTTTTGAACATTCATCGCGGAATTCATTAACACAGTGGGGGTGAAAGATACCCTTTCATAACTGCTAAGTATTTATAATTATTGTCTAGATTATACGTAAGAATAAGGAATCTTTATTCTTCCGCAAATATATCCATAGGATTAGATCCATGGACACTAAGTCAGGCGGCTTCAACGGCCAACGGCTGGGATCTTGGTTAGCTATACAATTATTATTCTTGAAATTGGCTGCAAAAATTTGCTGATAACTTCAGCGTTGCTGGAAAAATATGTTTTCGAGTTCCATTAAGGGCATATCATCAATATGGGGTACGAAGCCTACTAGTTAAAAGTGGCGAACTTTTAAAAATTCTGTATTTCGAAGGGGATTATAATAAAATATCAAGTGTGCTATATTTTTGGGAAGGTAATTTTAAATTCTTTTCAGTTAATTAAAAATATAGAGGGTGTCCCAAATAAAAAATTAATTTTTCTGTTGATAACTCTTAAAACATTAATTTTAAAAAAATTATACTTAAACCATTAAATTCTATGTAAAAAGGTGCTTTGGTAATGTTTTCATAGAAATACAAAATTTTCCATCGCAAAAAAGTTACAGCGATTTGTTAAAAATGCACATTTTTGAAAAACACCCCGTAACTCCGAAACGGTAACAGATATTGATGTGCGGTTTTCACCAACATGTTTTTGATGAAAATTGAGCTCCAGACACCGATATTAGTTTTCGTCTATCTCCTATAGAAAAGGGTGTTTCCATTTAAAAACGTCGAATTTGACCCACCCTGTACAGAGTGGTCCACTAGCCGTATAGAACCTGCTTTAAAAAATATTTATAGAATAGCCCTACATTTATATATATATATATATATATATATATATATATATATATATATATATATATATATATATATATATATATATATATATATATATATATATATATATATATATATATATATATATATATATGACATAAGACCCCGTATTGAGCCTTTAACTAGTTCTGAGCTGGGGGTTGGCAGATAAAGATCGTGCTCAGGCATTCCTAAGTGGATAGTTGTGAAGTTGCCTTCGGGAATAGCATATATGTGCGTGCGGATTAAGCAAACGGATTCAAAAATGAATAAAGAAGGAAGAGTCAGTATTTTGAAATTTTTAAAGAAATTCTGGCAGTGAGTTCTACTGTTCAGTCCCAATAAATATCGAACTGCTCTCTTTTGAAGTTTGAAAATACGATCAAATTTTGTCGTGCAGCAAGTACTCCAGCCAGAATGGAAGAGCATAACGCAGATGCGACTCAAAAAGGGCATAATAGACTATTCTAGAGGTTGATAAGTTAAGTTCCTTAGAAACTGATCTTATCGCAAAACAGGCAGCGCTTAGTTTCTTTGATAAAGCTTCGATGTGCAAGTCCCATTTTAACGAGTTGTCTACAACAAGTCCTAAGAATTTCACAGAGTCCACGACGTCAATAGTGGTGTTATTAAGTACAAAAGGTTGTATAGTACTTTTATATGACAAAACTTTAGTTTTTGATAGGTTGAGGCATAAGATATTAGAATCGCACCAAGATTTAATGGTGCGTAAGTCACTGGATATAGTATTATATAGTGCCGTAACATCTGGGCCGCTCCAAGTGAAACTAGTATCGTCCGCAAAGAGGCAAATTTTACCGCTGATGTCTAGATTTGCAATGTCGTTGATAAACATCAGAAACAAAATAGGGCCAAGTACTGAACTCTGAAGGACACCACATTCTATAGGCTTACAAGAAGGCATAGACATATCAATCCTCACAAGCTGCCTTCTGTTGTCAAGATATGACTTAAGCCATTTGAGCGGCGCTCCCCTGAATCCATAGTATTGCGATTTATTAATGTTTTATTATTTGAATGCTTATTCAAAACGCCTGTATTACTTATAGATGATTACTTCTTACATAAAATATTAACCCTACTTTTTAGAATTTTAGAATCCTAAAACAGAACTTTTGTGATCAAACATTTTTAAACGACCTATAGCCAACAAAAGATGATGGATAACTGGTAAACGGTGGGAAATGCGAGAACAATACAATAAAGAACAGAATAGACGATTGTAACAATTTAAATATGCGTAGAGGCTACCCGTTTGTAAATTACCAATATTATAATTTAATAATTTGTTTACAACAATCGAAATAATATGAGATTAATTCATCAAACGGGTAATTTGCAGTCAGAGAGAGCAACAATCGACAAAGTTAATTACATATTCTGAATCACAGCGGAAAATGTTACAAAGGTTATTTAATAGAATCTGAAATGATGACGGTAAAATACTTTTTTTTCTACAAACGTCAGTAAAAGGATCATTTTCAAGCTTTGAATAAAAATATTAAGGAAGGATTAATTCCGGTTTATTAATGCCGTTCTTATTTTACTTAAAACGACTTAAGGTAAATGTACCAGTGCTCGTCACATTAAGAAAAGTTCATAATACCCTATAATACGTATGGTGATATATCCAAATTATATGGTATTGCTTATGGTAATAATTTAATTTGTGAGCAGTCATTATTCTAGGTCATATTTTTAAGTTTCTGTAGCCCCAATTATCGCTATATATCTTTTTTTTTCTTAAGTACACATTGTCTCAGTATTCGTTACCCCTTAAATGCAATTGTCCCAGTTATTGTCATTATCGTGTCCGAGTAATCGTCATATTTAAATGACATACTGTATTTATAGTAAATATGGAATTAATATTTACTTAATATGAACAATTGTTGTTTTCAAGACTTTTTTATTCCAGTACATTTTTCGTGCACCCAGCTCTTACATTTCATGCACTGGATCATGCCCACTTGAGAATATTCTTGAAGGTTTGTTTTGTTTTTTAATACTTGTTTTCTTTCTGATTGTTAAAGTTGTTTGTTCTATCGAAATTTTATTTTGCTTTGCAGTTTTGTTTTAAGTTAAATATTAGTTTTTCTTCTGAATCTCCTTTTTCGAAGGTTTCGATAATATTTAAGTTCCTGAAAGATATAATGAGAGGCATGAAATTTATCTATTATCCATATATTATCAATTAAGATGTTTTCCTGTTGTAGGCTTAAAACGGATTGTGGTCCCATTTTTATCGCGATAGGGTCTGTACAATAACCTTATTTCACAAAGTTGTTCTTAATGGATCAACCATTATTAACAGCTTCAATCGTTTTACGCGTGTTATCTGCGGAATATTTAAGTTTTCTTACCATATTATCTAATAATACCAGAAATCTTCACCACCATGTCCCGGTATTCGTTATCTCTAACATATATTTTCTTTAAAATCCCGAAACAAATTGGTATGGCGGAGACTGGTACGTATATTCTTACTGCTTAAAATAGCACCATTAAAGATAAGGTCTAAGACATACTATCAAAACTAATTAATCTATACGCAATTAGAATTTTTACTTCCATGCACCAGTAACCTTCATACATATGTGCTTTTATTAGGCCTAGTAATAGGCACACGAAAATAAACTAAAAATATTCTTTAAATCTTCTATAATCGCCTAAAGACAGCAATTTTAATATCAATACAAGTTATTTAATATAAAACGTGCATAATTAAACTTTATTTTGTATACTTCTAATCTATTATATTGCATCTAATCTATTATAACTTGCATCTTGCATAGAACCAACATACTCCCAATCACGTACCAAAAAGTAATGCAGAAGCGAATTACAACATGTGCATTTTGTAATAGCTGTCATTATTATAAAATGCACATGTTGCGAAATCGACTAAATAATTTCTAATCTGTGAAATATATAAAAATTAAATATTTAATTAATTTATAAATATATAAAAATTCCTAACTGTGATGAACTAAAACTGTGATGTGACAAAGAAAGTGGCGAACACTGATACAGTGCCGATTACTGGTACACTTACCTTAATACATGTTTTTATGTAACATAACCAACCCAACTCAATACTCAATAATTTGTTGGTTTTCTTTTAGTAGTAAGTTTTTTTAACATTGATAAAAACATCGTTTAAAAACTCGTGCTATTGGTTTGACTTATTAGGCAGTAATTCAAAAGTACCTTTATTGGTGTCTTCTTCGATTTCCTACCGGGAGAAATTCATTTGCGCTACCGCACCGGCTGGTAATAAGATTTCTATGTACAGGGTGTCCCATTTTGGTTGAAATCATACGGTATCTCCATTATTAGTGAAGATAGAAGGGTGCGGTTTGCACAAACCTAAAACTAGAGCAACGGACGGCAAGGCTAAACCTATGCAAAGTCCAGAGACTAGCATGTGTTTGCATCACAGGAGCCATGAGAACCTGTCCAACAGCAGCAATGGAGGTCATTCTAGATCTAACACCACTGCACATTGTCATTGGTAGATATGCCAATGTGACAATGATTAGAATGTTCACTAACGGAATTAGTACTGGGAGAATTGTCAGATCAGGGGCTTGGAACACCCTCAAAAAGGAAAGCAAATAATCTAGGTAGGAAAGGAGCCAACACTCCACTAACTGGACCAGAACCGTTCTGCTTTCCAAGTGGTAACCAACTCAAGGCGGAACTCAAGAACTTGGAAGATTCCATCCGCAACCTGGAATGGAAATCTTGCAATGGTCTAAGACACTCGAAGAAGTTTCTGAGGGCTTATGATCAAGAAAAATCACAGATCTTCCTGGGTCTGAGTAAGAACAATCTTCGGATTGTCACGGGGTTTTAACAGGACACTGTCTCATCAATGAACACCTCAGTAGATTGAAACTAAGAAGAAACGGCGAATGCAGATTCTGTGGGGAAGATGGTGAAACACCAGTACACCTCATCACTGAGTGCGCCGAGACGACAACCATTCGTGCCATGAATTTTGGTACGACTGATATTGGAGATGGAGAACTACCCTCTATAAAACCGTCCCAGATACTGGGTTTTGTCAAAGCCCTGGGACTGTATGATGAGTTATGATTCAAGAAAGGGGGACACAATGGATCTGTAAGGTCGAAGTGATTAACCCCCCTACCACTCATTCTAAATTCTAAAAATTCTAATTGCACAAACCTGTCCCACTTTTTTGTCAAACGGAAGATGCCGTAAACAAAATTTTCATAGCCCTCTTCGTTTCCGAGCTACAGGGTCTTTTTGAAAATTTTGCAATTAGGAACACCCCCTGTATCTCTGTTATTGTTAAAGCTATCGAGAAGATTAAAACTAGAACTTTTTACGTAGAATACCTTCGCGTAGTCTGTTTTTTACCAGAAAATATTTTTGAAAATATGAACTAAAGTTATGTTTTTTTTAAATGGAACACCCTATATATTTATAAATCATATGATCTGTCTTGCCATAAGCTTCTCAGAAATATATATATATATATATATATATATATATATATATATATATATATATATATATATATATATATATATATATATATATATATATATATATATATATATATATCACTCTATATTTATTTTCACTATTTACTGCAATGCTAAATTATTAAGAGTAAGAACATTTCTAAAAGTTTAAACCAAACCAAACCAAACAGACTACGCCACTGTATTCTACGTAAAAAGTTCTATAATAAGCAGTTTTCGCCTTCTCGATACCTTTATACCAGAGATACAGGGGGTGTCCCAAATTGCAAAACTTTCGAAAAGACAGTGTAGCTCAGAAACGAAGAGGGCTATGAAAATTTTGTTTGCAGCATCTTCCGTTTGCAGCATCTTTCCATCAAAAAAAGTGGGACACAAGTTGTGCAAACCGCACCCTTCTATCTTCACTAATAACATAGATACCCTATGATTTCAACCAAAATGGGACAAACTGTACGGGTTGCGTTTTATGGGGATCTCGTTTATGAATAGGATGCAAAATGCAAATATAATACCAGTAATCGACACTGAATACAAAGATGCGGTTTTCACATCCTAGCCAACTTAGTTCGTGAAACACAGGGCGAAATTGAAAATGTTGCATTTTCCGACCCCCTTCGTATCTCTGTTATCTTATAACTTATCGAAAAGGTGAAAACTGAGTCTCATAGATTTTTTCACGTAGAATTCCGCGGCATAATAATCGAAAAAATCAACATTTTTAAATTCGCCCTGTATTTCAGGAACCAAGGAAGCTAGAACAAATATGTGTAGTTGCATGAAAAAGTAGCATAATAATGTAAAAACCGCATCTTTGTCTTTCTACTCATAAACGAGAAACCCCATAAACACATGAAAATGGGACACCCTGTACTATATCTCTAGTTCTAGGCATACGACCCACACCAAATCTTAGTGAATTAACTTAGGGCCCTTAGAGCTTACCAGAAACGTTTTGTATAAAAAACAAAAGATATATAAAGCAAAACAATAATAATATTTTCTATTTTTATGCATATACGTACCCCCAACGCAACTTTTATAAAATCAAAAATTAATATTTTGTTTCCAGAAAATTGAATTTTTATTTGAATGAATACCTATTCTATTTTTAGGCTGGAAAGCCAGTGTTCAAAGTTTTACAATTATCGGACACTCATTACGATCCAGATTATGTTGTTGGATCCGTGGTGAATTGCCAAGAACCACTCTGCTGTCGGTCACACAGTACCCCTAAGGAGGACGAAGAAAGAATTTCTGCAGGGAGGTAGGTACGCAACATACCTTAATATTTAACATATCACAAATCACATATTTTCTAACTAAACCCAGTTGCCAGTGATGGCTTTGAAATAAAGATCGCTGTCATTTTATATGTAAAATTATATGGGGACTGTCATCGATATCATTTCCATTTACTATTTTCTACGTCGACTATTGTCTATAAAGATTAAAATATGTATAAACATGGTATAAACTATTCTGTGGTATAAAGTAAAATATAAGTTTGATCCAAGCAAAGACTACATCCAAGTTTGATCTATTTCTCTTTCAGATGGGGTTCATATCAAAAATGCGATGCTCCCAGAAGCCTTTTGGAGAATATGCTTAACCACATAGCCTTAGAACATCCGGTAAATAATTTATTTTTTGAAACTTATTTCTATAGTTTTATATTTTTACAACTATACATCAATTAGAACAGTATGTAAAGCTTTAGTAACAAAAGATTATTTTTATGAGTTATTTTAATGCCCATATGGAAACCGTTTTTTTTTCGATCATATCGACATAGTTTTTTTAACATAAAATGCACTATTTCGCATATTTGAAGTGAAAATTCATCTTACTTCTATCTGTCCGTCTGAGAACTACATTCAGTATCTCTATCCACGTGCCGAGTTCGGTTCCAATCGACACATAATTAAGAAAAATCCTGATGATTTCGTCCATTTAGAGGCATCGCACAGTGTGAAATTTACGGGGTGTATCTGGAAAAAAATATTTCAGCGACTCTTTTAATGAAATATTAGTCTTTTTCGTTTTTATATAAGTTTTTATACAAATTTTATCGAGGCAAGGTAGATCATACACCCAAATAATCGTAGTAGTGCATATACAGGATCTCTCATAATGTTTGGTACATATGGGAAACTTTTTTACTATATTATCAGTGATTCATAAAATGTTATTTTTAATAAAAAATTTTGTTGATTAAAAAATAGTTTTGAGGTGAGTAACTACGGAGTTTAATATACGGAGTGTCTAAAATTCTACAAAATGTGGCGTTGCTGAACCAAAATACATAATCTATAAGAAAGGCAAATAAGAAAGAACTATATACAAGCAAAATACACTATAAATTTTTGTGGGTCAAACCGATTTGGAAAAACAAACTATGAGAAAATCATACAATCAAAGAAAATAAAATAATCAATTGTTGATTTCTCGACAAACCGCACCGCACAAAGAGACTGTATTTGAGGTTTTTCTTTCATTTTGGTACTCTTGCTAATACAGATAATCGAAAATCTCCCCTTAACCAATCAGAATTTTTAGATAAGAAGATATGTTTATGCCTATTTGCCTTTTTCCATTTGTTCTCGATTTTCTGACAAAACATCCTGGCCGAAACTCTTATATTTTCTTTGACAGCTCTTGAAAGATTACTAGAATCAAAGCGTTCCAATATAAAATTCACCACAGCGCTTCGCAGCTTCTTTGGAGTGTTAGAAATCCAAACCTCATATACAGTACGTCTGTCCGTTCTGTAGCTATGGGGTATCCGTGAGAAAGGAAACGATATTCTCTCGATGTTTTTCGTAAAAAAATAGACGACGCGTCCCATCAATAAAAATTTGACAAATTTGCAAGTAGCCAATAAAATGAGTGGGCGGAGCGATTTGCGGTGACGTACTCGTCAAGTCGACGTATAAAATATATTGCTGTTTATTTAAATGTTTTTTGTCCGCATTCCTTTCATAGACACAGATCCAGCAGACGTACTGTACAAGTGAAGCGCGCAGCCATCTTAAAAAATATATATGTATAGCTAAAGCGCACCTAAACGCAGCTAATGTTTTTATGTCGTATGCTATAATAAGTGGGCTTTCAAGAAATGACAAAGTTGTGGTATTATGTAACAGAAACATATTTAAAGTAGCTAAATTACAATTTTTCATAGTTAACTGCAGGTACTTTAACATTTCTTTTCAGTCAAACTATATGTAGCAGAAATATTTTTAACAAATGATAGCTTACCATGTATATGTATAGGCCTAATATAAAAATAATATCGATGTAGTTATTCCGTGAAAGGAAACACTTCTCACTAAAACGCCTGCAAAATTTGACTAAAGTTTGATTTTCATGCATCCGTTGTCCGACGATACGTTGATACGATATTAATTTTATTGGTTGAAATTAAAGGCTTCGGTTGGTTAACCGTTTCTAACCAATCGAAGTCTTTAAATTCAACCAATAAAATTAATATCGTGTCATCGTATCGTCGGATAACGGTTGCATGAAAATCAAGCTTAAATGGGCTAGATATTTTAGATGATTTTATCGATTTGTCCGAAAGATAAAGTAATGAGCATTATGATAAGCTTGATTTTAAAAATAAACATATTTTTTTTATTGATGAATGGGCATTCCTTGAATAAATTTTATAATAACTTAGGACCTGGAATAAAGTTGGTAAATCGAATTAATTCCACCTAGAACGTCAAAATTTCACACTGTGCATCGGTTCGAAACGTCGAAGACGTCATCCTGTAGCCCGTCCCCAATTATGCCGAAATCGACCCACATTTTTCTTCAATATCAAACCCTTAGTCCCACCCTGATAAAGATGTAAACGGAACGTCGTAGTATCTAACTTTGCAGTGCACGAAACGTCATCAAAATATGAAAAACTGATCTACATTCCGAATTTCAACCCCCTAGCTCACATAGGGCCCGAGTTACGACGCTCCTTCTTAAGACCCATCTCAACTTCATTGGCTTAGCACTTTTTCGATCATTACCACTTTTCGTGATCCTAGCTCTTGTGTCACGGCCTTGAGTTTCTACTACCATCGCGCGCAAAGAAGTTTCACTTCACTTTTATTTGTGGTCAATATTTTAATTATGTTTGTGTCCAAATAAAAAAATCAATAATGAACCCAATAATCAATAATACATTCCAGGAAGTAACTCTAAAACTTAAACGTAGTGTTTTATTTTATAATTTATTTTTATTTTTTATTAAACACTAACCACTGTTTTACGTTTTTTACGAAATTTCTGATTCTTTCTCTTATTTGCTAGGATGTGGACTATATTATTTGGACTGGCGATCTACCACCGCACGATGTTTGGAAACAAACCAAACAGTCCAATCTGGACGTCATAAAAGACAGCGTGGAGATGATTTTTAAAATGTTTCCGGACAAACCTGTCTTCCCTGCAATTGGTAATCACGAATCAGCTCCAGCTGGCAAGTAAGCATAAGTTTTGTCATTCAAAAAATTATTAATGACAATTTTATCTCTCATTTAATTATTGTATGTTTTTCTTTTTAGTTTTCCACCACCTTGGATGCAAGACGAGTCCCATTCTATATCCTGGTTGTATGAAGAACTGGCCAATCACTGGCTAAAATGGCTGCCATCCAGTACTGGAAATACCCTGCAACACGGGGCATTTTATTCAGTTCTTTTAAGACCAGGTTTTAGACTGATTTCTCTGAACACAAACTATTGTTATTCACTTAGTTGGTGAGTTGAGTTTTATAGTTTAATTAATTATTTAATACACAAGTTATTTTTTACTGCACCAGTTACACACAAGTTTTGATTGCTTTGGTTTCACTCTTTTTTTTCGTTTTTGTCTGTTTGATTAATGTGCATCACAGAAAATTTAGTATAAATGGCAATAGTGTAATTGTCTTTTCTTCTGCCTATGTTATGTCAAATTATGTGTTAACGCATAGATAAAGGAAATAAATTTAGATTGGAATGCCCGTCAAAATTTTGGGTCGCGAACGTGGTACGCGATCTGGCGCTGCTATAGCGGTTGCTAAGAACAACCGCAAACAAAAACAGAAATAATGCATATACAATATTCTCTTGTCCATATCTCTTGTCAAAGTCAGAATCTTCAAAAATTATAAAATCTTTCAAAATCTAAACCGCTCTCATTAAAAAAATCCGAAATGTGTTTAAAGCGTACATTTTTAAAGTAATTATTTCTATCTTGTGAGTTTAATTTAAGTTTTATTTACTCAAACCCGTAATAATTGTGAAAAAGTGACATTAAAAACTAAAAAAGCTGTACTGTGAACTGTGAACTGCAAAAACCATCGTGGATCGTGGCATAACGTCGGTCGGTTTCCAATGTTTCATAGGTATTTCATACATGTCCTTATATAAAATAAAGTTTCTTGTATGCAACACACTGTATTTTACTTATAAAATTAAAAGAAAATAATAATAAAGTTGAATAAATAATATTTGGCGATATAATTCCGGAAAAAGCCGAACCGCTCCGAAATTTTCAAAAGCTTTGGCTCCCGACCGTTGCAAGAATAGCGCCAAATAGTGTTTACATCGTTCTTATGGGCACTTTCCAATCTAAACTTGTTTCATTTATCTATGTGTTATGCATAGATAAATGCAACAAGTTTAGATTGGAAAGCCCGTAAAAATTTTGGATCGCGAAATTATTTTGGGTCGCGACCGTTATACGCGATCTGGCGCTGCTATAGCGGTCGCTAAGAACAACGGCAAACAAAAACAGAAATAATTTTCTCTTGTCAAAGTCAGAATCTTCAAAAATCATAATAATCTTTCAAAATCTAAACCGCTCTCATTAAAGAAATTCCGAAAAGTGTTTATAACGTCCATTTTCAAAGTAATTATTGCTATCTTGTGAGTTTAATTCAAGTTTTATTTACTCCAACCGGTGATAATTGTGAAAAAGTGGCATTAAAAACTTAAAAAGCTGTGCTGTGAACTGTGAACTGCAAAAACCAACGTGGATCGTGGCATAACGTCGGTTTCCAATGTTTCATAGGTATTTCATACATGCGTCCTTATATGTATAAAATAAAGTTTCTTGTATGCAATACACTGTATTTTATTTATAAAATTAAACGAAAATAATAATAAATTTGAATAAACAATATTTGGCGATATAATTCCGGAAAAAGCCGAACCGCTCCGAAATTTTTAAAAGTTTTGGGTCGCGACCGTTGCAAGAATAGCGCCAAATAGTGTTTACATTGTCCTTATGGGCACTTTCCAATCTAAACTTGTTTCATTTATCTATGGTGTTATGTTTAACGTAACGTCAAATATGAGCCCCCTCCCCCAAATAGTACCAAAATTAAATTAAAATATTGTGAAATTCGGTGCATAATTATCAGGGCCGGCGGTCGCCCGGGGCGCCTAATGTGAGGGGCGCCACGCCAGCAACTAAAATATTTTATAAAAATTGTTCGTGGTATTTTACTTATAACTGAAAAGCTATCAACTTTTTGTAAATAACCCTTCTCTTTCTATAATTCTTGTTTTAATAAATTTTCTCTAAACAAACTGTTTTGGGTCAAGAGCCAGAAAAATTGACAGTTTTAGACTGCTTGTTGCTCAAAATTGCACTTTGTCTACTACCCACACCCTTTATTTGTTAATGGCTGATCTGCCCTAAAATTATATGAGACAAATATTCATTCGCAAGAAGCTAAATAGGATCCCGATATCCTTATTATCAAAAAAGAGCTTGTAAGTTTGCCTCATTAATTTATTAACAGTAGTGGGAAAAATATCAATCTTTTGGTGATTTTGATTGTTCTGGATTGAATATGTAGTAATACATGATAAATGGTAGCAGAATCGTAGAAATTTTTCATTAAAGCAAGGCAAATGAATGCATCTCAAATCTCAAACACTGGCTGATCCTCATTTTGAAGCCGACAAAACTGTATCTGACCATACCTATACTGATTCTGCACGAAATAATTGATTGTGAAAAAGATAAGAATTTTTTCTTAAATTCTTATAGAAAAATAATGCAATTGCTTGCAACTAAATAGTAATGTTTTCAAAGATCACTTATACTTATCATTTATATACAGGGTGCGTCTCAAAACTGGCTCCCTCCTATTTTTTCAGATGAAAAAACGAGATTTGGTATGTTAGTATACGACATAAATTAGGATTAATTGACGTATTCAATTGTTTTTGATCACTTCCTCTTTCACCGGAAATTAATAAAACTTTTGATTTTTAAACGGCAACCTCGGTATATTTCTACTTTAGGCGATAGAAAATGATAATCTGAATAGAATGACATATCATAATGTGTCAACTTTTGACATTTTCGCATATGGATTATTTGAAATTGTAACATACGGTTCATAACGACAATTTGACTCGAAATATCAAGTGTGTGGACAAAATTATTCGAAAAAAATTATTTTTCCAAATATGCAAATGAGCCACTTGTTCCATTTAAAATATGATTTTTTGAGCAAAAATGTCAAAAGTTGACATATGATATGTCATTCTACTTAGAGTGTCATTTTCTATCGAATAAACCAGAAATATGCCGACGGTGCCATTTAAAAATCAATAGTTTTTCGTTCAAACAGGAAGTGACCAAAAAATTAATACGTCAATCAATCCTAATTTATGTCACATACTAACATACCAAATTTCGATTTTTATTTAAAAAAATAAAACTTCCAAGATGCACCCGGTATAGAAAAAACAACCGCGGACTAAGATTGAACGAAGAGAAGAATTTTGAAGTACCTTTAAGTGAAATTTTATTGTTAAAGTAACATAACAAACAACGCTTTACTGTACAAAAAGCCAAAAAATATGCTTAGTTGTTATGGTAACTATGGGGGGGGGGGCAGGTAGGGTATTCGCCCGGTCTCAATATTTCCCTTCCGCCGGCCCTGATAATTATGCATTATTTAAGAGAAACTTCATTACGCGCGCTGGGAGTAAAAATTCAAGGCCGTGATATATAAGCTAACGAGACGGGCATGACACACAAGCGCGAGATGAAAAGTGGTAAGGGCAGTCTACGGCTAAGATATACGTAGTGACGCGACGCGCGCCGTGTAATTATTGTGAGCAGTCCACGTCAAAAATATTCATATTTTAATTGTTTATTTTTTTCTCGCATCTAAAACTATTTGTTACACGTATTAAATGGTTTGTTACAAGAAAAAAAAAACTATTTTTACGCGTAAAAAATTATCTGTTACACGTAAAAAACTATTTGTTACACATAAAAAAATATTTTTTAGTTTGTTACTTTTTCAACACCTCAAACTACACTTATTCAAACATGTCCTTCAAATCCTTCAATTTAATAGCTGTTTAATAACTGTAGAAGTTTCACTTTAAATAAGTATGCGCACATAGTGCACACATATTTTTTTATTCAAAAAAAGTTACATTTTGATCAAATAAGAAAAATGCAAAAATCGTGTGCCTGGAGTCCTGGGGAGTTCACCGCCGGACCCACAAGTATTTTTAAATATTTTTTTTATTATTCTTGTAGGTGGTTATTTGTCAATGGTACTGATCCAGCCAGTGAACTAAAATGGTTGGTAAACGAACTTCAACTAGCCGAAAATAACAATGAGAAAGTGCACATCATAGGTACTTAAATTATGATATTTTGTAAGTGGTTAGTTCGTAAAAATAAGACGATTTCTAGGGCATGTTGCACCTGGAAGTGAAGATTGTTTGAAGGCTTGGTCCAGAAACTTCCACGATATCGTTAATCGGTACGAGAGTACTATCACCGGACTGTTCTATGGTCACAGTCATGCAGACGAGTTCGAAGTGTTTTACGACAAAAAAAATCGCAGTAAGGAAATTATTATTATTATATTCCAATGATTCTTCATTTTCTTAAGAATCATTGAAAGATAAGTATACAAGGTGGCCTATTTAGTGCGAGGAAGCCAATATCGTCGTTGTTGTCAAAAATAAAATAAAGTGTTATACAGCATGATTTAAAAAGGTGCATATCCTATAAATATTTTCTTGTATACGGTGTACCAAAAAAAGTTATGATAAAGTTTTTTAAGTTTTTTTTTAAATTGGACCCCACATTTTTCTTTGTACCCCAAATTTAAAATAAACTTAAAACTTTATCATAATATTAAATATTTGTTGGCTATTATTGATATACAGGGTGCTACAAATTCGAGGTACGAGCATTGGTATCTCGGTAACCGTAATAAATACGGACATGGTTAAATTGGGACAAAGTTGCGCTTTGGGATGTTCACCAAGATGTCCAAGCCAAACCAAACCAAACCAAAAAAGTTTTAAAAAATTCAAGGATTGCTGAGTTTTTTGGGAAAAACGGATTTTTTTGAAAATGAATTTTATTTTTTCCTGTCGTTACTTTTAAGAAAATCAAACAACTAATTGCACATTCTCATAGCCACTTTATAAGGGCTATCTGGCTGTATTTTGAGATTTTCAAATTAGCTGATAATTTGTGAGATACAGAGCCCAACTTAATTTTTTTAAATACGGACCTGCATTTTTTATTTCAAATTTTGAAAGAACTCGGTCTCCTGAGTATGCTTAATTGCTTACTTGCCACATTTAATATTTTTTTTGTTTCGGACATTTGAACACAATTTATTTAAACTAATTTCAAGTCCGGCTCTGTTTTTTTAAATATTTAATCTATTCATCGTTACAATATTGGTAAGCTTTCAAACTTAACAATGACGTGGGGTAAAACATTGAATATTAAAAATCAAATGCAATAAAATAATAAAAAAAATTATATACAAATGAATACATTACAGTTGTACAAATATAGGAAGAGACTTCCATGACAGCTGCGGCCATTATTATATGACATTCGGACAATTTAATTTTTGACATAGATAGCCAGTGGCTATTAGCCACATGTCTTCTCTTTATGGCACAGTCCACAGCCACAATCACTAAGTTTGACGTTTAGGCTATATACATATTGTTACGTTTTTCGTCGGTTCCGTGTGGATAGAAAGTCACAATTTATTTAAACACTATTTATTTAACACTAATTAACAAAACTAATAACGATAAACGACTTATAGAACTATTTACAAACGATTTATAACTAAGAATTTATTTTGAATTTTAGCGCGTCAACTGTATATTTATAACTGCCCTCTCTAGGCCACTGCCGCCGGCTTTTTTACCTACAGCAAAAGAAATCTAGAATAGTCCGTAGATCGTTAGGCGCATAGAGAAGGTTTTCGAATGTTCTCGTATGTACTAGTCCATTCTAGTGGGTCTCGATTCTTCTCGAACGAATGAATCATTGCGGTGTCTATGCGATGTTAAGGTCATCCGAGGGCGGGCCATATTGTGAGGTTAGGTCGAGTCCACACCGGCTCGCAACACTGCCCCCTTCTTAGGCACATGCTCGTCCCGAGATGTACACGGAATGAAGGTATTTACAAAGCTGGCCCCTGGTACATTGCGAAGTCTGGTAGAAATAGCAGTCTACAGTTTTCTCTCCCGATCTCAGCTTTGGGTTGTAGCAGCAAACGAGGATCTCGATTCCCGTAAATCTGAACAAGACTTCAATCATGTTCCGGATTGTACGCCAACTCAAACCATCGAGTCCACACGCCAGCTTCGGAATGGCTAATCGTGCAATGTTGTTGTTTAGCAGGGCTTCTCTCAGTTCAATCAGGGTCTTCCATAGATTGAGATAAGTCGGCTTACTCGGGGACCATTCCTTGGTGACCAGGTAGAAGATGTGCCTTGCTTGACCATGTGCATTGTCGGTTAGCCTCAAGACGCTTCCAACCTCTGGATCCTGTCGGCGTAGTTCTCCGACACGCCCAAACTTCTCATTGAACGTCGCAGCGATTCCTCTGGACATCCGCAAATCTCGAGCCACACAATGAGCGAGCGAATAATCAGGAGGCACGGAAAAGAGGTCTCGTTGATCTTCTTTGGTTACACCATAGCGAGCCTTCTCACTGCTGTTGTATCGGGCCATGAAATCGTCAAAGGACATCTCCGAATCAGGGGGATCAAAGCTGCAGGTTCTCACGGTCCCAGCACGATCTTCTATTTCGCCTTGGTAGGGGCTCAAACGGTTGAAATGGACTACCCTCGGTTTTCCTTTTGGCAATTTTCTGATACGGTATACGACGTCATTAATTCTATCCATGACTTCGTATGGCCCTTCCCACGAGGATTGTAGCTTCGGAGATAACCCACGACGTCTCTGCGGGTTATATAGCCACACCAACTTCCCTGGTTGGTATCCTCCATGCTCAGCTTGAATGTCGTAGTGTTCCTTCATTCGGTCACTAGCACTTTGAATATTTAGGCGGACTCTCTGATGAATGTCGTCCATCCTTTGACGTAGTGTGTGGACATAATCTTCTCCGGCGACTTCTTCTCCCGGTCGGCAACCAAATTTCAGATCACAGGGTAGGCGCACTTCCCGTCCCATAACGATGCTGGCTGGAGTTTGCCCTGTAGATTCTTGGACGGATGAACGGTAGGCCAACAGGAACAGGTGAAGAAATTTGTCCCAGTCTCTTTGGTGGTCAGAGACTACTTTGGCCAGATAACGGTTGATAGTTCTGTTCATGCGTTCAACCATCCCATCGGATTGTGGATGTAGAGCAGTCGTCCTGGTCTTGCGGATGTTCAGGACTTCACAGACGCCTTGGAACAGATTGGACTCAAAGTTTCTTCCCTGATCTGAATGAAGCTCCATGGGAACACCAAACCTGCAGATCCATTCTTTAACAAGGGCATCAGCAATCGTGGACGCTTCTTGATTTGGCAACGCGTAGGCCTCGACCCATTTGCTGAAGTAATCCATTACTACCACAATGTATTTGTTGCCATCGTTCGTCTCCGGGAAAGGACCAGCCACGTCGATCGCTATTCGTTCGAAGGGACTACCAACATTGTACTGGCGCATAGGGGCTTTACCACGCTTTTGTGGCCCATTAATGGCTGCGCAAATGTCACATTTCTTACACCAGGCCCTCACATCTTCTTTGCAGTTCACCCAGTAGAACCGTTCACGCAGCTTGCCAAGTGTCTTGGTAACACCAAGATGTCCACCGCTGGTTCCATTGTGAACTTCCGCCAAGACTTCCGGGACCCTCTCCTTTGGAATGACGATCTGCCTTCTCTCTTCTTGTCCCTCTGGTCTCTCAATCACACGGCGAAGTAATCCGTTATCTATTACCAATGAATTCCACTGGGACCAGTACGACTTCACGTTCGGCGAATATCTGCAAACTTCCTCCCACGTTGGTCTCTGGTCCGCGTTTTTCCAGTTAATCACCAAGCCCAACTCTGGATTACTGATTTGGTCATTTGCAAGATCTTCGGTTTGCCAACTATCACCAACCACAGTCGTCCTTAAGACTTTCACTTCTTTCTCTCCTTTGCAACGATTTCCCATCTGTCCACAATTCCAACAGCGAATCGGTCCCCCCTTCTTGCTCATATACTGATCCAGTACTTTCCGCACAATCCTTTCCACTTTGGAATTGTCGGAACTCTCCTCAACAGCCCGTACAAATCCTAGAGACCTAGAGCATTCTTTCGCGGCCTCAAATTCCAGGGCACGTGCTAGGGCATCTCCCAAATGCGTTGGATGAGCTAAAAGAAGTGTTTGCCTTGTCTCGTTGTCACGTAAACCATCAATAAAAGCCTGTACTGTTAAGCGCTCCATAACATTTTCGGGCATAGCAGGGTACGCAAGGCGAACGAGGCGGGCTACGTCGGCTTCAAACTCTAACGCTATTTTACTATTCAAATTGTCGTTTAAATTGTCTTGTAAATTTTTCAATGACGAGTCAAGGTCACCTTCCAGCTCGAAGTAAAATGTGTCAGGATCCTCACCTTCCTCCACCAAAACGTCTCTCAGTCTAGCTTGCAAAATACTTTTCTTTCCATCTATCTCGCACTCTCTCTCTTCCAATATGCATTTCAGTTCGGACACTTTCAAGTCTTTCAACAATTTTTTCAGAGCCATGGTCAGTCTTTTATTCTTCTAGTCTATCACACACGCCACACTTGACACCAATTGTTACGTTTTTCGTCGGTTCCGTGTGGATAGAAAGTCACAATTTATTTAAACACTATTTATTTAACACTAATTAACAAAACTAATAACGATAAACGACTTATAGAACTATTTACAAACGATTTATAACTAAGAATTTATTTTGAATTTTAGCGCGTCAACTGTATATTTATAACTGCCCTCTCTAGGCCACTGCCGCCAGCTTTTATACCTACAGCAAAAGAAATCTAGAATAGTCCATAGATCGTTAGGCGCATAGAAAAGGTTTTCGAATGTTCTCGTATGTACTAGTCCATTCTAGTGGGTCTCGATTCTTCTCGAACGAATGAATCATTGCGGTGTCTATGCGATGTTAAGGTCATCCGAGGGCGGGCCATATTGTGAGGTTAGGTCGAGTCCACACCGGCTCGCAACAATATTTTTGACAGGCAGTTTTTTTCCTCGAAAAATTATAAATATTTTTTTTTCTTCAAAAACGGTAAATTTATTCGTAAAATTTTACAGAGAATTTAAGTATGTAATAAAAAATGAGGTCACCCATTTAAAATAAGAAAGTTGCTGTCAACTTCTGGTACTTCCGAAAGTGCCGCCATATTGAAAATATTTTTAATCGATAGGTCTCGTTGTGAAACAATGATATGCACAAAATCTCGGATTTAGATATTGTAATTCTCTAGAAACTTCTAATGCAGGCTCAGCCTGGGACACCCTGTATAAATACTTGAATTTTGTCAACCATTATACATACGTCACTCAATTTTTACAAAATGTGCATTAGAAGTATATCATTATCTGAACAGACCGGGGGCCACATTTAGCTTCGCCGCCCCGGGTCCCCGACAAGCTTAGTCCACCACTGGCACCGGTCACGTGTTATTTTATATTTCTCACGTCTCTAGCTATACTTGTACTTCACGTCATTTGTAAAAGTGAAATCAATACATCTCAACATTTACAAAGAGTACAAAATGCTTTCGGAAGTATAAGAAGAAAGTTCAAAGAGCTATAAATAAAATTGAACGAAAAATAAATTGTGCAATAGGGAGGGTGGTAACCATTTCGAACATGTTGAGCACATTTCACACTTTCTACATGTAAAGCATTAGAAACTAGTTTGTAGAAGTTGATTTATTTATAATAACTACGATGAATATTACGCATATTATTAGATCGCACATTGAGATTTAAAATTCACAATAAAAAAAGTTAAAAATAATATCTGACCTAAAATTAATTTAAATAAATTAATTGCTAATTGGTGAAACTTAAAAAAAATTGCTGACCTGGATATAATTTATTTGAATCTTCCAATTGGCTCGATTTTCCTTATTCAATGTTAATTAACGCTGATCAATATTGTTGCGATGAATATGATCAGATTAAATAATTAAAAAACCAGAGTCGGACTTGAAATTAGTTTAAATAATAATTAAATAGGTTTTTTGTTGTTAAGGTACCCAAAACAAAAAAAATGTATAAAGTGTGGCATATCATTGTACTCAGGAGACCGAGTTCTTTCAAAACGGGAAATAAAAAATACAGGTCCGTATTTAAAAAAAATAAGTTGGCCTCTGTATCTTACAAATTATTAGCTAATTTGAAAATCTAAAAATACTCTCTGATAGCCCTATTAAAGCGGCTATGATAATGTGCAATTAGTTTTTTGATTCTCTTAAAAGTAAGGACAGGAACATCCCAAAGCGCAACTTTGCCCCGATTTAACCATGTTCGTATCTATTACAGTTACCGAGATACCAATGCTCGTATCTGGAATTTGTAGCACCCTGTATATACACCATTATTAACCATGCAACATCTATATACAACTTTTCTTCATATCTTCGACAACAACGACGATATTGGACTTCCTTGCACTAATGGGCCACCCTGTATATAAGCGTGGATCGTCTTAAATTATTTTGTTTCAAACTTTGTTGTTATCATCTAATTTGATTTATTTTCTAATTAGGTAGGCCTACTGCAGTGGCGTATTTGGGCCCCTCTGTAACAAGTTTCACTAACTACAATCCAGCTTATCGAATCTATTACGTTGATGGCGATCATAACGAAACAACCAGGGTAAATTAAGAATAAAAAATATATGTTACAAAAACTTCATTTTTAATAAAAAGAATTTGTTTTTAAATTTTAAAAATTACTTACTTTTTAATAAAAGATCGGAAAATACAGCATCATAATAGCCATCTAAATTATAATTGTTTAAAATAATTAACTTCTTAATATAAGAACTTGTCAAAAATTAATAATTCCTGTAAATAAAATAACAAAAAATATTTTTTTGTCTGTGGATGATTGGTCTGTCGTCTAAAAACATTTTACCTTTTTTCGAGGAATAAAACACTAATTCACCACACTACACCAAAACACTTAATTTTGCACAGGGCGAGCCTTTCGCTAAACCTGTTAGCATCATCAGCGGATGATTAAAACTGTCCGGTTAAAGCTTGAATTTCATGCATCCGTTGTCCGACGACACGATGATACGTTATTAATTTTATTGGTTGAATTTAAAGACTTCGGTTGGTTAGAAAATTACGCAGGTTTAAAATTTATTGCATTTTTATGCCTCCGTTCATCGGATATACGATTTGTTTGTGACTGGTATCATTTTATATTTTCATTTCCATAACGATTTTGCTGTTTTACATATAGTCTGAGAGCTAGCAACGTTTTCGAGAGAGAATTTTAAGAAAGTTCTTTAATATATCTTTTGCTATGCTCTCCTGAATAGAGTGCGGACCGTCTGGCTACCGGCAGAAGCTGCGTTCACTACTGCGCATCATATCTGTATTAAACATCTGTTCACTACTGCGCATCATAAATTCGCCCTGTATTTCAAGAACTAAGGACACTAGGACAAATCTATGTGTAACATATTTAGTTTCATAAAGAAGTAGCAAAGTACTGTGAAAATCGTATCATTGTATCTCATAAACTCATAAACGAATAAAACGCACAAAAATGGGATACCCTGTACAGATGTGATGCGTAGTAGTCTACCGGCAGCCAAACGGTCCGAACTCTCTTCAGGAGAGCATAGCAAAAGATATATTAAAGAAATTAACGAGATTAAAACGAAAATTCTCGTTTTCCCGACTGTGCTAGCGCTTGTACCTACTATTATATTTTTATTAAGGTTAGATCAAATTTGTCAAAAAAGTGTCAAAACGTCCGTTATCATACGATCTCTCTCCGTTGACGGACTGCAGTAAAAAATTTACGGATGAAAAGTGGCGCAAAAACGCTATGACCAATCAGAGCGCCGTCGGACCATCGTATCAACGGATAACGGACGCATGAAAATCAAGCTTTAGTATGAATATTTGATAAATCTTTATATCAATTAAAAAGAGGTTCGGCTCGACAAACTTCAGTATGTAGTTTCAGAGGATACTCTGACACCGTTTCTTTTTCGTTTAAAAGTTATCTTTGTAAATTAAAACTATTGACAAACTTATGACTTTACATGAATATTGACATAAAATTTTAAAAGGACCTTTTTCTATTTTCCCCCAAAAAATAGGAAATTTTGGATCACGAAACATGGACTATGGATTTGGCCGATGCTAATGAAAACGAAAATCCTCCGAATTGGTTCAGATTGTACTCTGCCAAAGAGGCCTACGAGATGCCCAATCTACGACCTAAATATTGGGACAAACTGATCAAAGATATGGAACAGAATTCGAATCTGTTTCAGCAGTTCTACAGGTCTGTATAGTCAAATTTTTACTAAAGACTGTTCAACCATCGTTCAACGTTACGTCAAAAATAATTGATAAGCTTGCCAATAAGCTCTTGTTCAATTTGGTTAAATCTTTGAGACATTTTTGCAATAAAAAAATTGAATTTTCTTTGACAGCAATACTCAATTTTTAATTTTGACATTAATCGATGTCCTTCAATAAAATTATAACCCCAGATCAAATGACAATGACAATTACTAAAACAAATATATGCAGTAATTTACAAAATGCCGTAATGACGTCACCAATCTCTTTCACCTGGTTATCAAGTGACTGAGAGAGTTCGACAAAATATATGACGTGACGTTGAACGATGACTGAACATTCTATATATTTGGTTATTTATATATTGTACCGATATTACGGTTATTCATCCTCGTATCGTTTACGGTTATTCATCCTCGTATTCCTTCATTTGTATTGTTGTTTTATGTATTTTTCATTGTATTGTTGCTGTCTGGTACCATTTTGTATTTAACCCCCTTTTAAACGTCAATTGTTTAATTTTCCAAAAAAAATGCAAAATTATTATGTATATTTTGATACACACTTTATAAATATATTTTAATTTCTTTCCAGGAATTATTATAGGCAGTCGCCAACAACGCCATGGTGTGATGCTGAATGCAAACACAAGATAATTTGTGATTTAAAATGTGCCAAGTCTCAAAGTAGACATGAACTTTGTGAACAAATCAGCCGATAACAATAGTTAATAAATTTAGTTTTAAAAAATAACTTTTAGTTTTATTAATGCTCCAATATAAAATTGTAGATTTGGGAGGGGAAGTTAATCACCGCGACCTTATAGGTCTATTGTGTCCCCCTTTCTTGAGTTATAACTCACCAAACAGTATCAGAGCTTTGACCAAAGCCTGTATCTTAGATGGTTTTACAGAGGTTAGCCCAATACACATCTACAAACCTGTCTAATCTGTGGCAACACTATTTTCTATATCAAAAATATAATTAGGTAACATATTATCCAGATCCAGTGGTTAAGAATGCATGAGACGAAGTTGTAGAAATAATGGCCGTCTTCACTTTATAGATGGTTTAATTGTTTATCCCAAGTTTGTTCAGTTCTGTATAATAAATTCCTTTAATGTTATGATTGCCTGATTTTGTTCATCCACTAAGATATTAACAACAATTTCCATTCCAATCTAAAATAGTTTAATAAGAACAAAAAGTATTGGCTTGGAAAACTAAATAATTGTATACCCTGAAATTTTATTTTAATTTGAATTTTTTGAGAATAGTACCTATTCTACTCTTAATTTTTTTATATAATAAATAGTTATGTATACAGGGTGGTCCAAACTGTATTCCGGAAACTTCAGCGGCATATTCTGCAGATAAAAATAAGCAAAAAAGTTCGTATAAATCTATGTCCTATAATGCTTAGTTTCGGAAATATAGGGTGTAAAAATTTAATTTTTTTATTTCTATTTTATCCAAATAATTTATGAATTAACGTCAATATTTGGATAAAAATTGGTATCTAGGAGCTTTTTGACATGAGAAATTTGATTTTAATGTCAATATAACTCCTACTTGTAGAGGGCGCCACCTACATATTTTTAACTGGTTTGAAGAATAATAACTTTTCGTCCGTACCTGTATACAACTACAGAGTAAAAAATATACATTTACGTTTTTTGCGTAAAAAAGGTCTCTTGGTGAAAATCGCTACGAGTATATTTGAAACCGAAATTATCAATACATATATCATTGACATAAATTAAACATGTTGACTGAATAGTTATTAGACTGAAATCATAAATTTGAAATGTTTTTTTGTCAAAAGTTTAACAGCAACTGTTATAGCATCATTTTGCGCAGAAAAATTTATGATTCGTTTAAAAAAATAAAAATTTCCCAAATTTACCATTTCAGTCAAATAACTATCCACTCAACCTGTTTATTTTTTGTCAATAATGACATAATATATCAATATATTATATTGATCTCTTCTGGTGTTGACTATTTCCATTCTAAATATCTTGAAAACGGTTGCTCGTAGCGATTTTTATCAAGAGACATTTTTTAAGTAAAAAGTTACGGAAATTATATTTTTTTACTCAGTAATTTTATACAGGTATGGACGAAAAGTTCTTAATCTTCCAAACAGTTAAAACACATGTAGATGGCGCCCCATACAAATAGGAGTCATATTGACATCAAAATCAAATTTCTAATGTCAAAAAATTCCCAGTCACCAATTGTCATCCAAATATTGACGTTAGTTAGAGTATTTAGATTATTTAGAAAAAATCGAAATAAAAAATGAAACTTCTATACCCTGTATCTCCGAAACTAATCATTTTAGGACATACATTTATACGAACTTTTTATATATTTTTATCTGCAGAATATACTACCGAAGTTTCCGGAATACAGTTCGGACCACCCTGTATAGTCAAAAAATATGGGAAAATATAAAATATAGAACAATAAAAAAAGAAGATATGTATATACTTTTCTTTTTTATTAAATCACGTTTTATACATTTGCTGTGGCAAAAAATACTCATATACAAAATTTACATATACATTTTAATACATTAACACTTCCAATTTTGACAATTCTTAAATATTTACATATTTGGATCAAACTAGGACCTGTTTGAACATCATATTAAAAACTGATTTAACAATCACCAATACAATATTATTTCTTTTCATTTGTATAAATTTTAGCGCACTTCACTGTAAACACTCTTTTGTCATTGCACATTTTTTTTTCAAATCATAACTCGAATGTTGTACCAATTTCCTCCTCCTCTATCTGTTAAGGCTGTTAAGTTTTTAGTTCAATCTAAAATTAAAAAATAATAGTCAGTATTAATAGAAAAATATATAAATAATTTTAATTCTTTATTCAGATCAATGATATTAATAAAACTTTACTGTCACCACCACTGTCAAAATAATTACATTGAATTAAGTATTTTACTCAAACAAAACGGAATACAAGATTCCAAGAGAACAAAAAATTAAGCAAACAAACTACTCACACTTTCGTCGTCTGAAATATCATACTCTTTACGCAGACTTTGAATACTGATTTCTAACTGCCTTATATCCTTACGAAATCTTCTCACTTTCAATTGCATACTTCGTATCTTCTTTTTATTATTCAGAATTACTTCTTGGGCCTCTTTGTACTCCATATTCTCTGCACCTGATACACTAAAAGACAATATTAATCTCATTTAGATTATAACATTTTTTTAGTAACCGTTTGATAGCAAATATAATTTCGACAAACAGTATGATCGAAAATATGGATCCTGTCAGCTTAGATAAAGCATGAATAAATTTAGCGAGTTTTTCTTATAAAGGTGACGACTTCTGCAATAAATTTTTGCTTAATAGTAATAACTAAGAATTAGGTTTTGTTAATCTCTTTATGATGTCACGTTATTATCAAAACATGAAGTTAAGGCACCTAAAACTTCATACAGAACCTCGAAATTAGTGGAATAAATTAGTGGTTTCAATTAGCGTAAAACTTTGTTCCTTTAATTTCATGGTAAAGCTTCATTAGGAACCTCGCAATTAGTGGAATTAATTAGTGGTTTCAATTACACTTGATACTTTTTAGTTTACGATCATTCACAATAATTAAAAAACAGTTAAAATTAACAGAATATCCTAGCAACAGCTTGCGTTAGTCAGTTGTATCCATAGAGAAAGCCTGATTTAACTTATAAAACTTTTGATTTCTAACCACAATTTCTCTTGACGGAAGATAATCAAAGGCCAAAATGACATTTCTCGCAAATTTAAGTATAATTAGTAGTAGTGGGAACTATCGAATGAATACTATCGAAACATTCGATAGTTGCAATTCATTCGAATAATTCGATAGCTAGTAAGAAAACATTCGTTGAAAACTGTTCGAATAAAAATTATCGAATAGATGCGTCATCTGCCTTGAAATATTGTATTCTAGTAATTCGGCACCAAAAACCATTCATTTATAAAATTCATTCATTTATGAAATTCATTTATTCGTCAGGATCGATTATAATAAAATATTAACTGGATTTTAGTTGTCGCCCGGCGACGTAGGTTTCTTTCCGAGAAATCGGACAGCGATCGGTGGCAATGCTATGAAAGAAGCCGGCATCTTTGATTTTTTGCGGAGTAAAGATAAGGACACATTATTTTTTTTATTTAGGTGCTAGTATTTACACAGAAAATACATTATGAAGGGCGCTGTTGCCATATATTGGTATTAGTTGATATTAGCAAAGAATATTAGTTTGGCTTTAGTTAGTTAGGGATAGTATGTCTATATATTTTGCATTTTTTTTATTAATATTGTGTTGTTACACTGCAATAATACTTGTTATTTTGGATGTAGGAAAATGATTTTTAATGTTTTTAAGCATAGACTGGTTTAATAAAAAATAATTACAGTAATGATTTGTTATACCTATTAACAACAAAATTTAAAATAATTTAATATATTTTTTTTACGTAGTAGCAAAATATAAACAACAAATTAGATGTCAAAATTATTTATATTAGATCCTATTTAAAAATAATATATATAGTCTTTAAATTTTTTGGCAACGTTGGTTTATTAAATAATAATAATTACAGAACTAATTTGTTATATTAACAACAAACTTTAAAATCATGAAATATAAACATTTATTAATTTTCTAAGCATGCAGTGTAATGGAAGGAAAAATATAATAAAAATTAGAAATCAAAATTATTTACATTAGGTACTTTATATTACTATTTAAAAATAATATTTACTTTTACTGGCATTTACTTTAAAAAATAAATGAAATATTTCTTCGCAAAAAACTACATGTAAGAGAATTAGCATAAACAAAATACCAACATCGTTAACTTTTTTTTAAATTGGCACGTGTAAAACTTTCAATTTAATTTTCTCATCCCATATTTTGAGTTCGATAACATTTCCTTAACCACATTACTTAAATATGATTATTAAGTTCAACTAATTCATATTATTAAAACATCTAAAATACAAATATGTATTTTTAAAATTAATTCTAAGTTCATCTCATCTCTCTTAAAAATTGCTTCTTCTCAAAATTTCCCATTAAAAAATAGACCATATACCATATAAAATAAAATAATTCAAACATCGGGCTACGAAAAATCACATAAATTTTCGGAAAAATTTTGACCACCTGCACACGCACACAATCGTCAATTAAAAAAAAACTACTATTTTAGTATTTTAAATATTTTAATAAACGCAAAAATAGCACAGTATTTATAAGGCGAAGTTATAAAAATTTGGAAGAACTAATAATGCACTCACGCACACAAAAATCAAACGAATACTAAATTTCATTTATCAAAAGCATTCGATAGTCGTGGCTCAACGATAACCATTTAGTCGCACGGCGAGGTTGTCACATATGCTTTAGTATACAAATGAATGAATGATTTTATTCGAATAAAACCATTCGATAGTTGAAATCATTCATTCAGTAACCATTCGATAGTCTAATTCATTCGATAGTTCCCATCGCTAATAATTAGTAGAAACGTTAAAAATATGATAACATTTTCTACTAATTGAAAATGTCTACCACTAATTTATTCTTCAAATTACTAGGTTCTGAATGAACCTTAAGCATTGAGAATGTCAAAAATTAGTGGTAGTATTTTTCAGTTAGTGGAAAAAGTTAACAAACTTTGCACTTTTACCACTAATTATACTTCACAATTTGAAATTAATGTCATTTTGACCTTTGATTTATCATCCGTGAAGAGAATTTTTATTAAGAAATGAAAAGTGTATTGTTTTATAAGCTAATTATAAAAAGGGCCCTACACGCAACATCTGAGAGATTAGTTTAGATTAATACCTGAATCCTTCCATTCAGTCCAAATCTTAACGTGTAGGGAAGGCTTCGATAAAGATGTCATCGAAGAGATCCGCAATCTTTCAACATGCTGAATATGTTTAACTACACAGACCACAGACTTGGCGGTAACTGTTCTAGACTGACGAAATTATCTTTCATAAAATCTGAACGTGTAGTGTAAAAAGAATACTATCGATTTGGTCTTAAGATCAGAACTGTGCGATTTGGCATGCAGATCAAATAGCTCCTTTTAGGCTTCCTCTGTGGATACAACTGACTACCGCAAGCTGTTGCAGGATATTCAATTGAGCTTCATTCAGAACCTCGCAATTAGTGGAATAAATTAGTGGTTTCAATTACACTTTATACTTTTTAGTTTACAATCATTCACAAGCTTATAAAACAATAAACTTTTGATTTCTAACCAAAATTTTTCTTGGCGGGTGATAATCAAAGGCCAAAATGACATTACTCGGAAATTTGAAGTGTAATTATAGTGGAAAAGTTAAAAGTTTGTTAACTTTTTCCACTAATTGACGTTATGAATGCTTACATTAAAATTAGGTGAACAAACTTCTACAGCTAATTAAAACTACTAATTTACCACTGATTTCCACTGATTTCGAGGTTCTGAATGAAGCTTTAGTTTTAATTGTATTTTTTTAAACATTGTGAATGGCCCATACCAGTAATATTTATTCCACTAATTTGGAGGTTTTGAATGAGGCTTTAAAAATAAACATTTTTATAGTGTATAATGATAAATATTTAGACAGGGTCCGACAGTAATATGTCGGGCATCTGTAGCTCCTAAAATAAAAAACTTAGCAATTTTGCTTAAGTGCAAACCTAAGGTATGTATTAGGATGTATTTCAGGAAAATAATTTAACGTCTACAGGGTGACTCAAAAAAGTGTGAGTGGATCAGGATAATCAGGATAATTTTTTTAAATGGAACACCCTGTATATTATTTCATTTTTGGCTTCCTTTCTGATCACTTTACATCATTTTAAAATATTTTTTAATAAGTTTTGATAGTTTCAGAGATATCAATAAATAAATAAAAAAATATATTTTTTTCAGCCTTTTTTAGAAAAATTATTAAAAATAAAAGAACTGTCCTGAAATCAAGACTATATCAGGTTATAACTAGGGTATACTTTAGATAGTCGGTACTTACTTTGTTATAAATATCGTAATCTTAAATAATACAGAGTGATCAAAATTCTACGCCAAACTTTCTAAAATATAAAATAATTTTTCATAGCTATTTTAAAGGGAACACCCTGTATATTATTCTTTTAATAGATGGAAAATTAAGTAATGAACATTTTTTGTATTTAGGGTATTTCAAAATGTTTAAGGGCTTCGCAGATTACTTGCGGTATTATTTCAGATGGCTCTTTCAACGGTAAAATACGAAAGAAAAATCAATGGGTGGATTGGGTGGCTTTGATAAAAGTTTACTATGGAAAATGTCATATGAAATATAAAATCGAGAATATCTGCGAAACCGTTAAAAATTTGGAAATACACAAAATGTTCATTTTCTAATTCTCCATTTACTAAAAAAATAATATATAGGGTGTTCCATTTAAAAAAACAAAGAAAATTTACTTTATATTTTAGCAAGTGGCGTTGAATTTTGAACATCCTGTATTATTTAAGATTACGATATTCATAGCAAAGACAAAAAGTACAGACCATCTAACGTAAATACATAATATAGTTTTGATTTCAGAACAGTTCTTGTATTTTTAATATTTTTTTTTAATAAAGGCTAGAAAATATATTTTTTTTATTTATTTATTAATATCTCTGAAATTATCGAAATATATCTACTCATATCTTAGGATTATGTGAAGTGATCTGAAAAGAAGCCAAAAATGTAATAATATACAGGGTGAGCCTGAGGGGACATACTTTTTGAGCCACCCTATAGAAGTATAATAAGTTAAAATATTTTCCTGAAATACATCATAGTACATACTTTAGGTTAGTACTTAAACAAAATTTCCAAGTTTTTTTTTATTCTAAGAGCTACAGATGCCCAACGCACTATTGCCGTATATCCTATATACAAGACAGAAGTCCCTCACCTGTTAGAGTCCTCTCCTGTATCGCCTTCGGGATCAGAATCTTCTATTATTTCTATAGGTGTGCTACAAGAAGTACTGTGATATTCGTCGCTTTTTCGACGCTTCTCAGAACTCGAAGTTACTCTCATTTCAGTATTAGGTGTAGTTGCAATCGCCAGCCTTAGTTGATTGGTCAATTCTGTTTCGTTTACTGTCGAGTCTACAACGTTCGTTTCGCTACTGCTACCGCTATTTGAATCCAAAGATTGGTTTTCAATAATATCCAATCGCAGAGGATCGGCATTTGGCACAGAACCCACACTTTCAGGGATTTCTTCATCCCTTGAAGTCAAATCAACAATTTGCACATTGGAATTCTGTAAATTCCAAGGTTCTTTTTGGTTTGAACTCAAAAGAGTTGGTGCAGGAACATCACTACTGTCCTGTTCATCATCCTTTGACGTCAAATCAATAACTGATGAAAGTTCCAAAACTAAAAATTCATTCGAATTTGACTCTAATGGATCAGCTTCTTGTGCTACGTTAGCTGAATGCTCTGGGAGAGAATCAGAAGAAACACTTGTAGAATTCTGGTCTTCTGTGAGTGATGTTAAGTCAACCATATCTGAAGTAAACTCCAATGGATCGACATCAAAAGTGTTCGAATTTGGACTTAGTTCAGAATTAATGATTTTCATATTTGAATTCTGCCGTTTACTGTACGTTTGTAACGGGGAAGCAGATATTGTCACCGACTTCGTCTTCGCATTGTGATCTTTAACGCTTACAACTGACACAATATCAGGGTAAGTAGCGTTTACTTGGAGTCCCGCCACTTTTGGTAGCTGTACACCGTCTGGTAGTCCTACGCCTTTCGGTAGTCCCACAGTATAATCAGTTTGTTCTGGTAATGTCGTATCATCCGCAAAAACGCTTCCAACCGACACAATACTTGGTAAAGGAGCGTTCGGTTGGTGGCCTAAACTATTTGGTAATTCCGCGCTAAAATATCCTTGTTTAGACAATAATGTCTCAGGAATCTTTTTTACAGAATTCAACGCTGAATTACTGTCTTTCGTATTTACAACTGGCACAATACTAGCTAGAGGCTCGTTTAATTGGAGTTCCACGTCTTCTAGTAGTCTCGCAACACGTCCTCGTCCGGCACCACGTGTTCGTCCCGGGCCACGTGCACGTCCCGGTCCACGTGCTCGTCCGGAACCGCGCGGTCGTCCCGGTCCACGTGGCTGTTTCACGTCATAATTTCTTAGTACAGGGAAATATAGGTCAGCAATCTCTTCTACGGACTTCGATATTGAATTACAATCTTCTTGATTTACCGACACAATACTAGCTAGAGAATCGTTCGTTTGATGTTCTACACCTTTTGGTAATCCCGCGTCATTTGGTAGCCCCACGGTAAAATTTCTTGGTACAGGTAAATATGGAATAGAATTCATATTTACAGATTTCGATGTTGAAATTTGATCGTTCACGCTTACAACCGACAGAATACTGGGTAAAGAAACATTCGTTTGGACTCCTGCGCCCTGTGATTGTCCCTCGTTATATGGCATTCCCACACTACAATTTCCTTGTTCAGGTAATACTGTGTCAGAGATTGAACTATGATCTTTAATCGACACAATCGACACAAAGGGAACGTTAGTCTGTAACCCCACGGCATTTGGTTGTACTACGCCATCTGGTGCTAACGCGCAGTTCTGTAGTCCCACGCTATTCAGTAGACCCACACTAAAATTTCCTTGTTGTGACAATGCAATATTCTGATTCAAAGTAGTCTCGTATGGTTGCATTAGTCCGTAATTATACGCAAATGGTTGAACGTTTGGATAGTTATAAATGCTACCGGTAGCCATATTAATATAACTTGACTCTGGTACAGTGTTAAACGGAAGAGTCATCCCAGTCTGTGGCGCAAATAAATTGAGAGGCGTAGGCTCAGGATCCGAGAGCGATCGAACATCAACAACTTGGATTTTGTTGACCGGGCCACTGGATTCCGTTGTAACAACTGGGGGAGAATTTTTGGTGTGTGGGGGAGGATATGATGTATAAGAACCTCTTTTATTATTCATTTTTCTGATAATATTCTGAGGTATAGTTTCTGCATTTTCCAATACTGGCTTGGTATAAATAATATTAATTTTAGGTAGATTCGTATTTGTAGAGCTGGTCGAACTATTGGATGATAATGGGTCAACATCTGCATTGTTTCCCACATCTTGAGGTGCCTGATTCACCTTGGGACCTTTTGGTTTTATTTGTGCACCAAAAGAATTAGTATTTTTTATGACAAAAGCCTCAAATTCTGTTAAATAGTCGCTAAAATATAATTTGAATTTAAAATAAATGATATTTACATGAATTAACCTATTCTAACTACACTCATGAAAAAAAAAAACGCAACAGTTAATTTTTTGGTCAAATTTAAAGTGTTATATTTTTGTTACTTTTAGCCCAGTTTTCATGAATTTTTAGCAAGATGTATATAATTATATCAACTATAATTTGTAAACTCAGCTTTTTATAAACTTTAGTATTTGGCATATTATACAGGGTTAATCGAGGGGTTGTTTTTTCCCTAACATTTTACACTAACTTTAAAACACCCTGTGCAATAATTTCATTTGTAAATTTTCCTAAAATATAATTTTACGATCATAACCATGACTCCTGAGCATTTTGTTTTTTGATTCATGTCAATACATGCTTTGGTTAATTTTTAAGAGCGAAATGAGCTGATAACGAACAATTTGCAACTTTTTTAATTATCATTTCTTTTTGATGTAATTTTTTAATATGACGAGGTGGTTTTGGTGACTATTGACATTAAAACGATAACAGAACTAACGATATTAAAGAAAATATCTGTAATACTAAAGTATACAAACAGAAAAAAATTTGTAAAAAATAACCTAATACTTTGTATTGCCGCCATTGGCTGCTATAATTGCCCGTATACGTCCGTCCATACTGTCATTGAAGCTGCATACATATATGAATGGGAAAGCATACTGCGTTATGCTTTCCCATTCTTCTTTAAGGACCAAGCGAAGCTCATTTAATGAAGCTGGTACTACGTCGCGACCTCTAACCCTCCTGCCCAGCATTTGTCAAACGTCTGTTGCGGACCCATACCGTGTGAACTCGGCCTTAGGCTTGGTCACTCGGCTATGACTCATACGCCCACCGACGTTCGAAGAACGCCGCTAAGAATTTTCGAGATATGTCTGGACTGTCTGTTTCTCTCATATATAAGCCGATGCCCGAAACCTGAAGGAGACAGAGATAAATAACCGATCGACGCGTACAGTTACAATCGCCGCGGTAATTCAAAATAAATTTCTGTTAGATAAATAATTAGATAAATTGTAAATAAGTTATAAATAGTTCTTTAAGTCTTTTAATCTTTATTGTTTTTGTTAATTAGTGTTAAATAAATTGTGTTTAAATAAATTGTGACTTTCTATCCACACGGAACCGACGAAAAACGTAACACGTCGAACATGATGGGCACTTCATAGTAGTATATAGTTCACAATAATCACTAAAGCCGCAGTGCGACATTGAAAAAAACTTCAAAAAAGAAATGATAATTGAAAAAATTGAAAATTGTTGGTGGCAAGCTCATTTCGCTCTTAAACAAGGGATGTATTGACATGATCCAAAAAACAAAAAGTTCAGAATACATGGTTCTGACCGTAAAATTATATTTTAGGAAAATTTATACACGAAATTATTCCAAGGGTGTTTTTAAGTTAGGGCAAAAAAACAACCTCTCGATTAACCCTGTATAATATGCCAAATACTAAAGTTTATAAAAATCTGAGTTTACAAATAAAAGGTGATATAATTATAAACAGCTTGCTAAAAAATGCATGGAAATAGGACTAAAAATAACAAAAATATAACACTTTAAATTTGACCAAAATTTTCTCCGTTGCGTTTTATTTGCATCTGAGTGTAGAATTTGTTATGTGTTGTATAGTCTATAAAATGAATAACTTTGAATGTTGACCGTTATTTCTTACCAACCCGGCAAATATAAAATCCCTCTATCAAAAAAGTTACTGATATTCTTTAAATTGAGTGCCTGAACGAATCAGATAGGTAACTCTTTTTACTTTCGTGAAATAGAAAAGGAAAATAATAAAACAAGTGGCAGTTCTTCCTCTTCTTCTAAAAATCAACTCGAAATGTCATAATTGTCAAAAGTAAAATGTCATCAGCTTTTGACATTTCTAAATATCAGACCAATGCCGTCTCTAATAGAACAGTCTCTGAGCGAGATTTATGACGTCACGCTAGTTAGATACTACGGATTAATAAATATGTTGTAGAATACATGGAAAACATAGTTATTCCTCGTATTTTTGGTTTGTATTTGAAAAACAAACTTTGATTTTAAAATACAAACCAAAAATACGAGGAATAGTTATGTTTTCCATGTATTCTACAACATATTTATTAATCCGTAGTATCTAACTACGTGACGCCATAAATCTCGCTCCGAGGCTGTTCTATTAGAGACAGCATTGCGTCAGTATGGCCGCAAGTTGCTAACCTAATAAAATAAACACTAAAAAAGCCCGCGGGAACTGTCAAATTCAAAGTTATTCATTTCACAGACTATACTATTAGTTCTAACTCTGTTAACTTAATGTTACTAATCTATTAATAAAATATCTAAACAACAAAACAAAAAAAATAGTTGTGGAATTAATTGTAATTGTAATTATTTAAAGTCATGATAATTATAACACTTAGAATAGAATCACGAATATTTACCTGTTTTTTGATGAAAGTTTTATTTTATTAGCTAAATCCGTGGACTGAACCTCGGGCAAATATTCATTGGAAGATAAGTGCATTAAAGTTTCATCCTCTGCATAAGCACTTTCTAACACTACTTTCTTAGAAGAACCACTACATGAAATAGAAATATTAATTCAATATAAACAAATACATTTCAATAACAAATAAATATATTATTTGTTATTGAAATATTGAATTAACGAGAAATCTTAAATATTCGAAATCTTACGGAAATAAGTAAACATAGATATACAGTACCGGCCAAAAGTGGAGAAACTTTTAATATTTTTACTATGTCAAAATACAGTTTACTCTCCGCAGAATAGGATATCAAGTTTCACACTCTTTGTTTCACATTTAATCTGCTTTTTATAGCCATATAAAAACCAGGCGCGAATCCTCCTTGAATGCTAAGAATATCTAAGAATCCTCCTTGAATGCCTAAGTAATACTAAGAATCCACCTTGAATGCCTAAGAATACTTTAAAAATCTACTATTTATTATCAATATTTTCTATTCATATAGGTAAATAATATACTGTGTCACATAATCCCATAATCGGTATCAAAATACGGAAATACTTAATTTTAAATTACTGCATGCATGATTATTATGTGCATTCAATCACAACAGATACGCGTATACTAAGCGCGTCGAGGTCCCTGACCCACACATCGATTCGGCACATAGACTTAAAATAAAATATAGACTGAGCATCTCATTCATAAATAGCTGAAACATGCGGTCAGACACTGTCTTGTTATTGTTGTGTTATTGTTTTAGGTTATAACGAGTGCGACACGAGCAATAGATAGGATCTCTGTAATAGATCTCTGTCGTAACGGTCGTTGCTCAACTGCCAACCGTGTCTCGACACGTTGCTCCAATATAAACACCTACATATAAATTAATATAATAATATTCTTTGCTTCGCTACTATCGCTGCTCTTATCGTTTATCGCCGCTCCAACATAAACGCACCCTTAGTCGCAGTTTGCAGATCGGGAAAGTTTTTGGCGTCTCTGTTTCGCTGACGAATAGTGTTGATTTTATTTCGAGTTTCGAGTTTTGGACTTCTGAATAGTTTTATGGATTTTTTGTGAAAAAACTAGAAGAATGGAGTTTAATCTATACTAATATATAAAATCCTTGTGACTGACTCACTGATTAATCACGATCCTGTTCAAACTACTCAACGTAAGAAGCTCAATTTTGGCATACAGGTTGATTCTAGGGTGTAGAGGTTCGATAAGAAGGGATTTTTCGAAATTCCAATTCCAAGGGGGTGAAACCACCCCTCAAATATTACAATATTTTTTATTTAAAAAACGGTAAAGTTTCCGAAAAAAACGCTTAAACACGTATATTTTATTTTGTTTTTTTACATATTTTAAGATTTTTTAAAAATGTATACAGGGTGTTTCGAAAAATCTGGTTATTGATTAATCATCCTGCTTAAAGCGCTTGACGTAAAAAGCTGATTTTTGGAAAACGGATTGACTTTAGGGTGTAGAAGTTCGATAAGAAGGGATTTTTCGAAACTCTAATTCTAAGGGGGTGAAACTACCCCTCAAATATTAGAATATGTTTTTAAAACCGGTGAGTTTTTCGGAGAAACTCTTAAACACGTATATTTTATTTTGTTGTTTTCTATATTTTAATATTTTTTAAAAATTTATACAGGGTGTTTCATAAAATATGACTATTGAGTAATCACGATTCTGCTTAAACTGCTTGACGTTTAAAGGTGATTTTTAGCAAACGGATTGACTGTGGGGTGTAAAGGTTCGATAAGGAGGAGTTTCTCGAATCTCAAATTCCAAGAGGGTGAAAACGTCCCTCAAATATTACAATATTTGTTATTTAAAAAACGGTTAGTCTTTCGGGAAAACGCTTGGACAAGCATAATTTATTTTGTTTTTTACATATTTTGAAATTTTTTAAAAAATCATACAGGGTGTTCCAAAAAGTTGGGTAATTTAGTAACTGCCAAAATATAATAATATCGCCATATTGTTTTTTCTCATGCTGACATAAATGTAAGAAAACTTTATCCAGTTTGTATGTTAATGGAAATTCTTGCATTGCTTTATCATCACCATTACAAATGATTAATTCGACGCGAACAAAGTCGCGAGTACACGCTAGTTTTAAATAAATCATATTTTCATAGACAGGGCTATTTTTAACGATTTTAAACGATTTCTAGGCGAAAATTGGACCCAGTACCGAAAAAAATCCGCCTTCTGCGGGCTCACGCTTTTTAATATTATTATTACCTCGTAGTGCATGCCTAATGTTTACTTCGTGAATAAATTTGCAGGCAAAAAATTATTTACAAATTCCAGCGGACATAGGTGGAGAAACCTTATCTTCTTCTTAACATTCTGTGAGATATTCTCTTGTTAAAGCGTCTAGATCGTGGTATTGGGTTCACAGAGCGTTAAAAATATGCCGCGCGGGATAAATTTGTCAGATCAAATAAAAAAAATCATAATTGAGAAGTATCATTCGGGAATTAAACAAATTGATATTGCTAGACACTTAAATTTACATAAAAGTTTTTTGTGCAAACAGATTAATTTGTATAGAAGTCATGGGACAACTGCCAGAATACCCCAGCACGGAAGACCCAAAAAAACAACTTTGGCGACAGATAAAATAATAAGCTGTTCGCTTAGAAATCCATTTTGCACTGCCGAGGATATAAGGCACGAATATCCCTTTATTTCAATATCTGTTAAGTCCATTAGACGGCATCTGAAACAGGCACAACTAAATGCCAGAAGACCTGCCCGAAAGCCGTTTATTTCTAAGAAAAATAGGCAGACCCGACTACAATTTGCATTGGAACATGCAAATTGGACCTACAAGCAGTGGAAAAATATACTCTAGTCGGACGAAACCAAGTACAATCTATTTGGTTGGGATGGTATTAGGTGGGTGAGACGTCCTGCCAATGAGAGGTTCAATCCCAAGTACGCAGTTGGGACGCAGTTTTTCAGTGATTTTGAAAATCATGATTTTTTTAGAAAAATCTGATTTTTTTATTTAAATCAGATTTTTTTGATTTTAATAGAAAACATTATTTAAATCGGATTTCCAAATAATTATGACTTAATTCCAATTAAAGTCCTATCCTAAATGGCTAAATCTTCATAACTCTGCTCCATACTGATAATATTAACAATTCTACGGCGCGTGTCATTTTTCCACGTCGGTCACCAAATATAATATATTCCGCAAAAAAGTCGCTCGCTTCCGATCAAAAGGATTTTTTTTCAAATGTCACAAGAGTATTAATTTTTGTCATTTCAACGCCTAGGCATAAAAGTAAAGCACTTTTCCGCCTAAGCACAAAAATATATGATTTACCTGATATTAAGTGCCAATTTTAACAAGTGTACAAATTGTTGCTCGATTTCTTACAAGATACTACTTTTTACATGATTTGCAACGTTTGAAATTGATTAAAAAGTTATTGTAATATTTGAAAAAAAATAGTATGTTCTACCCGGAGTAAAAATGTACTTTGTATGCCTCCCTGTAACGTCGGACTAGCTTTACGCTAGTCTGTCAAACATACAACCTCGTCAAAAAAAGTTTAATTTTTACTCCTTACTAACAGTAACAGTTTTTGAGATAAAAAATAAAACGTGTAAAATTGACAAAAAAACGAAAGCAATGGTTAAATCATAAATTCGGTATACTGAAAGCTAAAATTTGGTTTATAGGTTAAGGAAAGTCGAGATATTCGATCTATCTAAACCAACCAATTGTTGAAAACAAAATTCTTGAAATGAGACTATGATAATAGAATTATTAATTTTTAAATAACTCTACTTAATAAACTGGAAGGTTTAGGTATAGGAACATTATATATCGTTCAGGGGCGGCTCGTCAGGGTAGGCAAGGTAGGCGGCGCCTACCCTAAAATTTTGGCAGAATTTAAGTGTGTTATAATAATCAATATTATTTTAATATTTGTGGTCTTATCTGAGCTAAATGTTCTTTAAATCTAGTTTGGCTAGATTTTACCACGCCCACTCGGTACCCACTGAGCGAGTATATAAACGCTCAACTTGTAGATTGTACTTTAGTTTATAATCATCTGCTGATGATGCTAACATGGTTAGCGAAACGCGCGTCCAGTGTAAAAGTAAAAGTGTTTTGGTGTATTGTGGTGATTTAGTGTTTTTATTTTCCTGTGTAACACCAAAGGTTCCAACCCTCAATTGTAATAGAAATTTGTAGTTAGAGTATGCAAACCATAAGTATACGCAAACTAAACACAGTATAAATGGAAGCAGATATTTACTTAATTATCAATTATTAGGCCCCAGTAATTGTCAATGGCATTTTTCTATTTACGAAATTAAATCAAGGGGTAATTTTCTTTGTTTAGAATATCGAATAATTATTATTTTTTATATTCGAATAATTATTATTTATTCTTGGACCTATATAGGAGTATACCGCGATTTTGCAAGGGACCGCGGTATTTACCTGGAATGGTCGCGAAACTAACGCGGCTTATATGTGGAACCGGTATTCCCATCACTTTGTCATCATAAATTGCCATTAAATATATGCAAACATTCGCTCGGGGATTGTTTTATTACGTCAAATTGCATTCGTTTTTCAATTTAAATGTATTATTATAAGCTTTAAAAAAATTGATGTTATCGTTTTGAGGCCTTTTTGGAGCTGGGGCCCTTAATCCTCTGGTCGGGGCTCGTCGGGTCCCTACATAAAAATGGCACTGCCGATGAATAACATATATTTATATTGTTTAAAACGTAACAATATCTACAGTATGTTCGCGGATTGTCTTCATAAACATTTTTGCTTGTTCTAAAATGGTAATTCCTGTTTATACTTTTTCAAATTTCCATACCGTTTTAGACTTTGAGTTTAAGAGAAAAATAAAAAAAAAACATGAAAATATAGTTGAATTGTTGAACTAGTAAAAATAAAACGCCTTTCTATGGTAATATAATATCGTTCTCATTTTTTGATAGATTATTATTGACAGAATTTTAATTAAAGTTATATTTTTTGCTGTTTTAAAATGTTAAAGAAGCACAAAATTTATTTAGTTCAATGCTACGGAAAGGGTGATAATAGCTATCGGAAAAAATGTGACACTTTAACATCAAAAAATATGACGTTAATCAAAATTAATTATAACGATTTATCAAAAAATGAAATCGAAATTATATTACCATAGCCTTTTAGTTTTTGGGACTTTTAGTTTTTTTAGGATTTTTTTTGGGGGAAAAATTACATTAAAAAACTACATTTTTATGGGTTTTTTTCTCTCTCAAACGGTATGGATATTTAGAAAATTATAAACGCCATTTTACAACAAGCAAAAATTCTTATGAAGAACGAATTTTTTTTTTAAAGTCAATAATTAAAAAGTTTTTCCTCTTGTAATCTGTATCTGTCTTTTCCTCTGGGTGTCACAGAAATAAGTGCTAGTATTTTCACTGGTAGTATAATTCAACCCCAGAAACACGCATATGAGGTTTTTTTCGCGAAAAAAAAATGAAAACTTGGCAAAAAAATTTTTGAAAAATTTTTTGGGAATTTTTTTAGTTTTTAGTTAAAAAACATAATTTCTTGTTAATATGACAACATAGGTATTAGATTAAATTTACAAGAAAGAAAATCTAGAAAAGATCCAGTGGTTCTCAAAATTTTAGCAAATTTTGGCAGTAAAATAACTTCGTTATTTTGTACTTATTTGAAAAACGATAAAGAAAAAATATGTTTCTTTCATCTACCATCCCTTAAAATACTTGCACTTATTTCTGTGACCCCTGTATATATATATATATATATATATATATATATATATATATATATATATATATATATATATATATATATATATATATATATATATATATATATATATATATATATATATATATATATATATATATATATATATATATATATATATATATATATATATATATATTTTTTTTTATTACAATTATTACAGTATATAAATACTTGAAATTTGTCAACCATTATTCATACGTCATTCAATCTTTACAAAACGTGCAGACCGGGGGCCACATTTAGCTTTGCCGCCCCGGGCCCCCGACAGGCTTAGTCCGCCACTGCTCAATACTACCAATTTTTTAAGTTTTCGTAAATAAATAAAATAAAATTCTATGATGTACTCCATAGTAACTCCATAGTAATAGATAAACAAACATATACTTGTACATTATGTCAATCATTATGTCATTACGTTGAATGCTGTCACTTTTGCTTTAGTTTTGTCCTAAGTATTCTTCAGCTATGTTTTTAACCCAGAGATAACATATATTTACGAACTAGGTTAGGGTATTATGTAAATTTAGGAGGGGGGGGGGGGGCAAATAGACGCAACTAAAATTTTGTCGCCTTCCCAGTCACACGAGTCACGCGCCGCCACTGATATGTTGAAAAGCAATTTTAGTAAACTTTTGATATTTAAAAAAATATACATAGGGTTGAATTTAAAATAATAAAGATTTGGCCAATTTAAAAAAAAATATTTATTTTGCTCTTCCTGTGGAATATTGTAAAATGTTGTTGATTTAGACAGATCAAATATACATATCGACTTTCCGTTAACTTATAACCCAAATTTCAACTTTAAAAATATTCACTTCATAATTTTATCAATGCTTAATCAAGATCATGTTTTTGCCAATTTGAAAGGTACTATTTCATTTTTTATCTGGAAAACTATAAGAGACAGGCATAGGTTAGTATAATAGAAAAATTATGAGATATAAAAGTAATTTCCAAAATTGAAATAATATACTGGATGTTCCATTTAAAATAACAAAAATGCCACCATTTTTCAAATGATCCCGCAACACTGTAACGCTGATAATATTCTAGATAGATAGAGCAGGTGCCTTTGTATAAAAATCCAAATATTCCAAAAAATCAAATGCACGTGAAAAAGTGTTTTTTTTAAATGATCAAAAGATTACTTCCAACTTCCAATATTAAATTTTAATATGGATACATATATCAGAAATAAAAATATAGGGATAGGGATTAACTATCGATATTTCAATATATTAATATTTTTGAAAGTCCTGCTTGGACTCTATGTTTACTCATTTCTCAGATAGCCCTAAAAACTCAAGAGATGTATTGATACGAGTATAGAAGTTTCCAGTATCTTATTAATCTCTTTTGTCAAACCAAATTTAATAATAATTTTATATTATTTGTGTAGTTAATTCTACTAACTAATTTACTTTACTTACTATTCGAGAATAACTGGAGATTTGCGTTTGGTACTTCTAGCAGAATTATCATTATATGCCGAAAACACTTCTACTATTGCAGGAGTTGAAGGTTCATCAGGTGGAGTTGAAGGTTCATCAGGTGGAGTTGAAGGTTCATCAGGCGGAGTTGAAGGTTCGCCAGGTGGCGCTTCTAATTTTTCCCATGTAACAAATAATATGTTTTAGATATCAGATATGTCTCAGATCTGTACAGGGTAATCCAGGCTTTTTCTCTAAAAGCCCTATAATAGGCTCTCTCATTCAGATTTCTATTAAAATATACCGGGTGCGTCTCAAAAGTCGTTCACCCCCATAACTTTTTTATTTTTTATTAAAAAACGAGATTTGGTTTGTTAGTATATGGTATAAATTAGGATTGATTGACGTATTCAATTGTTTTTGGTTACTTCCTGTTTCACCGGAAATGACTACAACGTTTGTTGTAGACGATATATATTTTTAAATGGCACCCTCGGTATTTTTCTACTTTATTCTATAGAAAATGACACTTTAAATAGAATGGCAAGTCATATTTCAACTTTTGACATTTTCGCTCTAAAAAAATCGTATTTTAAATTTCAGTCTAGAATGCCATGGCTGTATTAAAAACACTAATTTTTAATCATGGAGCCTTAGAAAAATAGATTTGATCGTCTAATGTTTTTTGAGTCTTATCCTGGCCAGTTAAAAAATGCCCAAAAATAATTTGATACCACACACTTGGTATTTCGAGTAAAATTGTCGTTATGATCCGCATGTTACAATTTCGAAATAAACCATATGAGAAAATATCAAAAGCTGACACATGATATGTCATTCTATTCAGAGAGTGTCATTTTCTATTGAACAAAGTAAAAACATACCGAGGTTGCCATTTAATATTAAAAATTGTTGTCATTTCCGGTGAAACAGAAAGTGACCGAAAACAATTGAGTACGTCTATCAATCCTAATTTAGTCACATAATAACATACCAAATCTCGTTTTTTTCTCTGAAAAAAAATTAAAAAGTTATAGGGGTGAGCCACTTTTAAGACGCACCCGGTATATTCAGGCAATAGCCACAGCAACTTACTTTTAAAAAATATTTTTCATAGATTAACAAGTCAAATATATTTTTACACTAATCTTGTTTTTTAAATTAAAGGCCATAGGTATTTTTTAATATAAAATACAATAAGTTCCGTTTAAAATAGCAAAGAGGTCAAATCTGGTTTTAACACAACATGTATATGTCGGTGTCATATACTGAAATCCGTCATTCCCTGAAATGCCTAGTCGTTTCCCGTATTGCAAACAAAAAAATATACATTAAAAAGTATTGCTTGTAATTGCAAAATACCCAATTTTCCATAACAAAATGCTGATAACTTAAAATTTTTCAATGTATTTTTTATTTTCAATATCGTAGTTGCAAAAAATACCTTACTTTGATATGTTAAAGGCAATGCTGTCTTAAGTTTAATAATAATCGACTAAAACCGGAAAACAGGGTAACTTAAAATAATTTGTTTAATTAGGTGTTTCACTGAAATATTCTATCATTACAGGGAACGACGAAGATCCACAGTCAAATGAAGCACCAATTGAACAGTTGCACTATTTGCCAGCAATACGTCAATTTCCTAGGCATTTCAGGGAATGACAAGTTTCACTCTTTAACACTGACATATCCATTTTATTTTAGTACAATTAGTTATGAATGACATGTAAGCAAAAATTTTATGATCAAGACATTCACAGTTAAAAAATTCAAATGCAATTTTCATTTAAATAAAAAAACTAAGAAGGAAGAAGTCTCATTTTTCTGAGTTCTGTTGACATTTCAAATAACAAATTTGAGTTTGATTTAAAAATTTTGCAGATTTAATGGGCATTTCTGAACTTATCTAATGTTATACAGTATGACTGAAAAAACAGTGTCGAGTTAATGACAAAGTTATAGACTTTGATAATGTGCGAGTTGTGAGGATATCTACTAACTAACGCCTGAAAATGCTGGCTTGGAAATGAGGACCAATGACAGTCCCCATACAATTTTACATAAAATATAAATAATTTAATATAAAATATAATACAGTCCCCATATAATTTTACATAAAATGACAGCTATCTTCATTTCATAGCCACATAACAAAACCAACAACTTATTGTTGGCCAGAATATTTTATCTTAATTTTTATATTCAAAATCTAATGCACAGTTATTTTAAAAAATTTCATCAAATTACCGGGCAACAATATTGGAAGGGCTGTGTCCTTCAAAAAAAGCTTGCCAGGACAAGAATACATATAATCGGGAAAATGGTCTTCACATATTGTATAATGCAGCCTTACAAAAGAAGCTGAGAGAGGTATAAGATCCGGTCTCCCTATGAGTTCTAACCATTGCTTCCTTCTAAAATAAAAGAAATTTCTAAAGTGTTATAATAACATAATTATATGAGAAATTATTTATATAGTACTTTTTAGCTGGTTGAGGAAGATAAAAAAATTGTTTGCCCTTTATATCTGACGTACTGAGACAACGGTGAACGCAACACTGTGTTGGAACTGGGACTGTAGGGACTGGGGGCATCTTATAAATTGTTTATATTATTTCAGTAAATGTTTTATGAATGTTTTGTTGTTAAACAAAGTAAACAAACTTTAGAAACTCCTAAAAAGATAGGTTAGAAGCGAAATAATGCCAAAGCCATTGGCAAAAGCCATCAAAAGCTACAGATTTGTGAGATTTGTGTTAATGCGTCCAACCCAGAGATATAGATTAAAGATAGAGCAAGACATCCGCTCATCCAAAAAAATGGTGTCAAAAAACATTGGATCTTAGACAGGGAAAGAGAGGGGACAGGTAACACGGCAGCTGAAAGTGAGGCCACTTGTCACCAATCGAAATTCTACAATGGCGTAGCATCAGAAATTAGCTTGTACCCAGACGATACAAAATATTTATTAAAACGTAAACTAATATATCGTTCATTTTTGAGTAATTCATATACAATTTTGTATTTTATAGTCTCACCTTCATAATATTAGAATATCTAAGTCGATAATGCAAAATTTATTTAACAGTCACAGTGGACTGATTATCAAGACAATTATTTATTTATTAACGAGTGTATAATGCATTATTAAATAAAAAATAATGTAAATATATATGTTTTAAATGTGTATATACATATTATCGTATGATCGAAAAAAACCGGCGTCTTGTTTGTTTGGAAATGACAATTTTACAAATTAATATTAAAAATTACATTATTCATTGAATCCGTAAGCAAGTGTGAAGGGAATTGGCTAAATTCATTATTATACCGTATGATCGAAAAAAAAACGACGGCCAGTTGGCTTGTAAATTACGATCAATAACATTCCCCATATAATTCTACATATAAAATGACATAAAAACTATACAAAACGACATCGAAAAAAGACGGCGTCAGCGATGGCTATGAAATGAAGATCGCTGTCATTTTATATGTAAAATTATATGGGGAATGTCGTCGATCGTCATTTACAAGCCAACTGGACGTCGGTTTTTTTTCGATCATACGGTATAATAATGAATCTAGCCAATCCCCATCACACTTGCGTACGGATTCAATGAATAATGTAATTTTTAATATTTGTTACCTTCAATCATAAGCATATTCTAATTTTCCACAAAAAAATAAACAATTCTAGAAGCTTTGTGTTATTTTATTTATTTTTATTAATTACTTACTGAAACTGTTATTATACACCTAAATTAGCAAATTTTTTTGAAAGAATATTTAAAAAAATATAGTAACAAGTAGCCCACCACAAGTTTGTCCACCCCCAGCAAATCTTGGCAGGTAAATTTAAGTTTTATATAACAACTATACATATAGATTTTTTATCACCAGAATTTTTAATTTTTTTTATAGTTTACAATTATTTTACTATTTGATAACAATACTTTATACATTTTTTTACATGTAAAATATGTAAAAAAATGTTTATTGCAGAAATTGTATTTCTCTAATTATAATTCCCTACGCCACTGGAGAAATCCATGCTGAGTAGCATTATTTATAGTTTCAAACATAAATTATGATACAGGATATTGAAAATACTACTTGGAATTATTAAAAATAGTTTTGTTAGGATGTGGTACAAGACATATTAAAAGCATTTTACATATTTTTACTGCTATAATGAAAAAAATGTACATTTTATGACCACATAACAAAAGTTGTGTATCGATTTTTACCTGTGAAATGTAATTCCAGCCACTTTTTTCTCACTTCGACCTTTGCAGCCATACGCTGAACATTTCACCATACGAAACAACACAGTTTATAAATTTAAAACCAAACAGTATTCACAAAAAGCATAAAAATTCGCTTGGCGTCACCTCGAAATCTTGTCACCAAAGTATGGCCGCCGATCAAATTTTGGCTTCAAAAATTTTTCACTGAAGAATATGCGTGTTAGCTGTCCCCTCTCTTTCCTTGTCTAAGCATTGGACCAAAACTTTGAATAAGAAGACTAAGGAAGGAGCATAATGCTATCCATGTATTCATGCATGGTGGGTGGAAAACAAGCATCTCAAAACAGAAGAGATTCCATCGATGTTGCCATATTGCAATATTACATGTCAATCTGCGTCAATTGTCATTACTGTCATTAGTTATATTGGAGGAGGTTATAATGGAGGTTATATTTTAGAAGATTTGCCGCCTATTTTCATTTGTTGAAGACCGATAAAGGGCGATTTGTCTATGAGGGCGATTATTTACTTTATCAGCTTTGACAATTAAAATTTCGATCTTGAATCGATTTCCAGTAATTCTATTTGCTGAAATTTTTGACAGATGAATTTGACAGATAAAATTTCTGACAGATGAATGTTTCAGCCAATAGAATTACTGGAAATCTATTCAAGGTCATTACGCCGTTACGCCGATACGCCGTTTTTAGGATAGTGTGGCTGCACCCTAAGGAAGGAGCATATCAAAAATCTTAGGTACACCGCGATGGGCCTCAAATATGGCTGACTTAAATTCCGGTCTATCAGTGTCGTTCTAATTTTATTTAAAAAATGTAAAACTATGATGTAGGGTAGACGCGGGGTAGACTCAATAATTTGTTTTTTTATTTTACGTTGTGAATAAATGTTGGTAGTTATTAAAATTGTTATAAAAATATATAATTCTAATAAAAATAGGTAAGTTATAATAAGTATTTATTAACACAAACATCCGATACGCTACTGAAGCAGGTAAGTCAAATTAACGTATCTAAATTCTTTGACATCTAATCTTTGACAAGTAATAAATAAAAGCTAAAAATGCAATATAGTCACTTACTAGCGAAAAGTTGTTCCATTATTTCACTCGATTTTTGCCGAGATCTACCGCACGCTACACAACCAACTATTTTAGAGTCTTTTTCGATAAATCGCGATAGTGTCACTGTTAATTTAAGTTCTGCCACAATTTCCATCTAGATTTACTACCTTTATACAACTATCAGTAGTAGAATAAATAATAAATAACATAAAATAAGCTCCGTAAAGACTGACAAATTCACAAAATTTCAAATCAAATTCAAATGTGTCAAATGAATCGTCAAACAGAACTGTCAAGGATCCCCACCCTAGAGAGCTTTTATGGTGGCTTTTCCGCCCACCATGCATGAATACATGGATAGCATTATGCTCCTTCCTTAGTCTTCTTATTCAAAATTTTGGTCCAATGCTTAGACAAGGAAAGAGAGGGGACAGCTAACACGCATATTCTTCAGTGAAAAATTTTTGATGCCAAAATTTGATCGGCGGCCATACTTTGGTGACAAGATTTCGAGGTGACGCCAAGCGAATTTTTATGCTTTTTGTGAATACTGTTTGGTTTTAAATTTATAAACTGTGTTGTTTCGTATGGTGAAATGTTCAGCGTATGGCTGCAAAGGTCGAAGTGAGAAAAAAGTGGCTGGAATTACATTTCACAGGTAAAAATCGATACACAACTTTTGTTATGTGGTCATAAAATGTACATTTTTTTCATTATAGCAGTAAAAATATGTAAAATGCTTTTAATATGTCTTGTACCACATCCTAACAAAACTATTTTTAATAATTCCAATTAATATTTTCAATATCCTGTATTATAATTAATGTTTGAAACTATAAATAATGCTACTCACCATGGATTTCTCCAGTGGCGTAGGCAATTATAATTAGAGAAATACAATTTCTGCAATAAACATTTTTTTTACATATCCGCGAAGCACATCCACGAAGTATTTCTTTAGACATTTTAGGCATTTTCGAAATCGAAAATGAATACGCTTCATCACAAATTTAATACTGGTCACCAACTTTCTGATTTTTTTATGGATAGTTTACTCTCTGATATAATTACACGCTACTTTTTTACTATCCGGATAGTAAATAAGCCAGCCAGTAGCTAGTAAAGTTGACCGGTCTTCAACTTTACTAGCCCGCATTTTAGCGAGTAAACTATCCGGCTAGTTTACACGCTGCCTCGATTACACAGAGCTAGTTTATTAGCGGATAGTAAAATAGCGCACTAGCGGCGTGTAAACTCGCTCCGTGTAATCGACGCTTAACACGCATATTCTCCCGTGATGGATTAGTGAGGCCAAAATTCGATCGGCGGCCATACTTTGGTGACAAGATTTCGAGGTGACACCGTGACACCGAGCGAATTTTTATGTTTTTTGTGACAACTGTTTTGTTTTAAATTTATAAACTATGTTGTTTAGTATGGTGAGATGTTCAACGTATGGCTGCAAAGGCCGAAGCGGGAAAAAAGTGGCTGGAATTACATTTCACAGATAAAAATCGATACACAACTTTTGTTATGTGGTCATAAAATGTACATTTTTTTCATTATAGCAGTAAAAATATGTAAAATGCTTTTAATATGTCTTGTACCACATCCAAACCAAACTATTTTTAATAATTCCAAGTAGTATTTTCAATATCCTGTATTATAGTTAATGTTTGAAACTATAAATATTGCTACTCAGACCGGATTTCACCAGTGATGTAGGGAATTATAATCAGAGAAATACAATTTCTTCAATAAACATATTTTTATATATTTTACATGTAAAAAAATGAAAAATTCTTGTGATAAAAAATCTATATGTGTAGTTGTTATAAAAAAACTTAAATTTACCTTCCAAGATTTATTGGGGGTGGACAAACTTGTGGTGGGCTACTTCTTACTTCTTGTTACTACATACATATATTTTTTTAAATATTCTTTCAAAAAATTTGCTAATTTAAGTGTATAATAATAGTTTCAGTGAGCAATTAATAAAAATTTAAAAATAAATAAAATAACACAAAGCTTCTAGAATTGTTTTAATTTTTTTGGTGGATAAATTCGAATTTTCGGATATTCTTAAAAATAGGATATTCTTGTGATTGAAGGTAACAAATATTAAAAATTACATTATTCATTGAATCCGTACGCAAGTGTGAAGGATAATGGCTAGATTCATTATTATACCGTATGGTCGAGAAAAAAAACGACGTCCAGTTGGCTTGGAAATGACGATCGACGATATTCCCCATATAATTTTACATATAAATGACAGCGATCTTCATTTCATAGCCATCGCTGACGCCGTCTTTTTTCGATGTCATTTTGTATAGTCTTTATGTCATTTTATATGTAGAATTATATGGGGAATGTCATCGATCGTAATTTACAAGC